TCGCCAGATAGGATAAAAGTGCGTATCAACTGCAGAGAGATGTACGTATCAGAGATGTACGATAATACTCAAGATGGTATAACTGGCACACACTGGGAAAGGTAGCTGCTACCTCACATTGTCAAGATCAAGAACAACGCAGAACTGGAACAATGTGAGACAATCTCTTGGAGAGCAGGAGCCACATGAAGCCGTCATCACACCTAACCTGTCCCCTGAAGCCCATAATAATTAGATAATATCTACAACCCGTGCAAGGTCAACAGCCTTCAGCAACATACAGCAACCACAATGCAACCCAAAAGTTGAATTATTATTATTATTATTATAGCGTAAAATTAACGTTGCTGTTGCATGTTTGTTGAGTAGCAAATGCTAGTCAAAACGAGTAGCAAAAATAATAATTAAACGGTGCAACGTAATAACGTTAAATAACGCTATCGTTATAAAAACATTGTGTTATGAGGAAGGAGTGGGAACAGTACGGTGAAAACAACTTATCAATCCTTAAATACTGATATGTACTTAAGTACTACCTCGATTCAACGAACAACATAGGACTAGCCCCTATTCGTTGTAAACGGAGATGCCACCAGGATGCATTTTCCATGCCTTAAGAGGAGAGAGAGAGACCGTGGCTTATGTCACAGCCTGTCCTCCTAAGATTTCCCAACATCAAGAAAACGGTAAAAGTAGAGTGTCCTAACCTACCAGAGGACCCAAAACAGAAAACGGGACAGTACGTCACTTTCGCGAGCCGCTTCCATTTTCTAGTACGACAATTTTTGGTCTTATGCAACGCATACGAGCAAAAGCGACGTTCTTTTTAAGAGGACAGGTTGTATGTCAGCCTTCAGCAGCCACTAGGTTAAGATGGTAGCCTGTGTTAGGAGGAGGACATGAGGGAGACCGTGGCTGGTGCCAGCTGTCAGCAGCCACTAGGCTACGCTGGTCACCTACACGCTGCACACACTAACCATCAATATGGTGAAAGTGTCATTTGCTACTGGTGTCGTTCATCTCCCTTGCTGACACACGCGCCACCGTGCGCGCGCTCGTACCTCCACATTCACAGTCCCGTGTACGCACGTAGCACAGTAGTCTATAACTCTATATCTTTGGTGCACAACTGAAGATCCCATTGTTTACGGGCTCACCATAGCCCGTGTTACATGGACACTTCGTTCTGAGTAGCTAAATCTGAAACAACAACAATGAAGATCCCGTGTTCGATCCCCGGAGAGCACACAGACGTATGGGTACATTTCCGTCTACCTAATGACTATGTTCACCTAGCAGTAAATATGAGTCCAGGAGTTGAACAACTGTTGTTGCATGCATATTGTCTTTGTCGTAGAGGTAACCGTAACAGGCTTCCTGACCCCTTCTAAGGGAAACCATGTGAGACATACACATGTACACATGTACACCCAAGTAAGAAGCACCTGGGAACAGTCATTCAGGATGTTAATCATCACGTACGTGAGACCAGTTCATGAGTATGCAGCGCTGGTATTGCGTCATCGTGTAATCAAGAAAATATACAAAAGTTGAGAAAGTAAACGTTTGCAACATGTTGGCATGACCTCGGAACTCACGGAGAAGAATGGTTAAGAGCTGAGCTAAGTGAGCTGATCCTTGTGGTTATAGAAACGAAGAAGCCGAGGGGAATATGATCACGACGTATAAGATACGTGTATTGACAGGGTGGAGGAGAGACTGCTGGATATGGGAGGTATCAGGAGAGGATACACTTGCAGGGGAATACACTCTCAAGTCAGTTTCCACTTGCCTACATCATTACTATACTTAAGTAAATCTAACCTAACCTAACAACCTAATCTATCCTAACCAAACCAAACCTAGCCTAACCTAACCTAATCTAACTTACCATAACCTAACCAGCCTAACTTAACCTAACCTACCTAACCAACCTTACCTAACCTAATCTATCTTATCCTAACCTAGCCAAAATAAGATATAACATATTGTGTTTTAAAAATGTATATGCTATGTACATAGTGTGACGTCACTATTACGTTATAATCCCTATTTAACTATTGTAGTTAGAAACGATAGTTTTTAGCAACAGTACAAGTGTAGTAATTAATGTTCCCAATTACAGCAAAACACAGGTAGACATGAAAGATGAGTAGAGGTGAGGAAAATTGGGAACACGAATTACGTCAGTAAGGTAGTTCCTGGCTTTTCTTTTAAACTGTTTGAGAGAAGTAGTTTTTAATCTCATTGGGAGGTCATTCAACAGTTTAGGACCCGTTGATTTGCTGAGTATTTCTACCTTGGATAAGTCGCATCTTGGAATATCAGAAGGATATTTGTTTCTCGTGTAGTGCCTATGGGTTCTCTTACAACCCTCTAGGAGGCGCTTAAGGTCAGGATTAACATTGCAGTTCAATTTTATATAGAGTACTCTTGAGAGGATGTCCAGTGACATACATAGACATAATATTTAATATTATAATTATTGATTGGAAAGACGGGGTCAAAGAGCTAAAGTTCGATCCTGCAGGCACCCATAGCTAAGTACATAATAATATAATTGAATACGAACAAAATGAACCATTGTAAGCTACAGGTACTTACCGCTGTGCTGACGCAGAAGAAATGTTTCTCACCAACGTCTGCTGAGGATGTATCCTTACGAACGTTCCTCGCCAACGTTTGTGAGAGTATCCTTGCCAACGTTCGTGCACACCATATCCTTGGGCGATTAGACAAATCGTATACACACAACACGACTGTTTAGCCGATTTTGGCTTCTCCTCGAGGTAGATTACAGACGGAGGTGACAATACGGATTTTCAAGTGAAACCCATCGTCCCTCCTGCTGATACAAGTACACATACGCACATGAGCAGAACACACACACACATATACACACCCATGCACGCACGCACTCACACACACACACACACACGTTGGCGAGTGACTAAGAGCGAGAAGACACAAGAGGAGACGCACACAAGAGCAAGGCTCAGCAGGCACTGGTATAAACACACAAGTGAATGGCCCACCTTCTCCCAGTCAGCTGTTTGGATAGTAGCGACGAGAAGGTGGGAGCAAGAACCACTACCAGGTCCTCGTGTCAAAGAAACTCTTCTTTGAAACACATGTTTCTATCTAAGACACGGCCAGTCATATATTAAAAATAAAACTTAAACTCCACGTTGAAAGTAAAAGTGAAAGCCTAGCGTCACCCTCCTCCCCTCCCTCCCCCAAACGTGGCTTTATTTGCTTTAATTCTCGTTTTATTTGCAAGATTACAGGTACTTTCTGTAAGAGACCTTTGTCTGTGGATGTGTATGAAGTAATATTAAGAAGATGCGGAGCTTCCTGAGAAAGTAACAAGGCCTTGTTTTTTTTTCCTCACAGTAGTACTTTACAAGGACGAGTGTGTGGAGAATGTGCTCAAGCCAGCGGCATCTCCACTCAGCTGACCCAGTCTTGCCACCCACCCCGGGGCTGCTGACCCACTCTTCTCACCCACCCCGGGGCTGCTGACCCACTCTTCTCACCCACCCCGGGGCTGCTGACCCACTCTTCTCACCCACCCCGGGGCTGCTGACCCACTCTTCTCACCCACCCCGGGGCTACTGACCCACTCTTCTCACCCACCCCGGGGCTGCTGACCCACTCTTCTCACCCACCCCGGGGCTGCTGACCCACTCTTCTCACCCACCCCGGGGTGTTGACCCACTCTTCTCACCCACCCCGGGGTGTTGACCCACTTTGCCACCCACCCTGGGGTGTTGACCCACTTTGCCACCCACCCCGGGGTGTTGACCCACTTTGCCCCCCATCCTGGGGTGCTGACTCACTCTTGCCACCCACCCCGGGGTGCTGAACCAGTAAGACAACTGAGGGGACCTTTGACGGACTGCCGGCTTCCTGTCCTCGTCGAGGCCACCATAGTGAGACGGATGCCCTCAAGTAAATTCATGTAATTTGAGGTGTTGTCCAGCATGATGATACAAAGTAGCTAAAGCTGCATGTGATAAGCTTGAAATTGAGCTACAGCTAGGTCTAAATTCTTTATTTCCAATCTCTGTTGTAATATAATTATTTCAAGAAATTGGGGCTGAAAACAGAGCAATCTGACACTCAAAGGACTGAAAACACTAATATAAATCTGCAGATAAGGAATCCCCACAATGGTGAACATTCTAATTGTAAACTGTGAACAAGAGCTGGGACACTCTCCAACATTGTATTTGTGTGCCCTGTTATAACTGATTTATCAAATGATATGAGATGCTTTGACCTCTGTAACTTACTGCATACACTCACGAATATTGGAAGATATTCTTGTGCTCTACCCAGAGTTGATTAGTGCAGCACATGGACTAGACTCTCATCTCATGTGAAACCATGTAAGTCTAACCATCCTGTAAGATGGGGGAATATGAGATAAACTCATAACCTTGATCTATACTATGTAATACTTCATATTGAATTGGGAAGCAGCTCATTGCTGTGTACGTAAGCTTATTAATTAAAAAAAACGTAAACTTGGTGGCTATAAGATGCTAATCCCTTGTTTACAGTTCGGTGACTTGAGACACAAGTAAATCCCAACTGCGTCTGGGTACAAGTGACAGGATGAACAACCTAGCTGGTTTTCTTCATATTAGGGGGATGATGCATTTACCTGAATTTACCTAATGGACACCATCTAGTTTATTAGTGGCCAAATGGCCCTGGCGGGGAGAAGAAGCCGGCGGCTTGTCAAGGGGGTCGCCTCATTTCTCCATGCTATGATCCTACTGTGGCGGTATATAAATTAGCCCTGGGAAAATAGTACACATGCTGCTGACTTACATAATTAGTCAGCAGGTTAATAACCGGTTTATTAATATTAATAACCTTATTAATAACCGGTTGATTTTAGAAATATAGATCTAAGTCTAACACCTATTCAGATCCCCTCTAACGTCACTTCAAAGAGAATCAAGACCCGTCGAGTTTTGTTTGGTTTCGTCGTCTATTGCCCCGCACGCTGTAATGGACAAGTGCCAAAAATAACCCCAGTTTTAGCCCAGCCTCGCGTACCAGAACGTCTTAGAAGTTTCTAGCGTGGTTTATCATTAGAAGGTATATACAAGTGGCACCTTGAAGCTGGTCCACGTCCACTATTGATAAGTGAGCAGTTGTCAGTGTTGTGTCTCCCCACATCCTCTGCTTTAGCTACTCCATATACTCGCTTACTGTAGGAGGTAAAGTACTTAGTGTAGTAGGTAAAGTACTTATTGTGGTTGGAACGTGTGTACTGTTTTTAATGTAAAGTACTTACCTTTAAAGGTAAAGAACTTGTTGCAGGAGGTAAAGTGTAAATGGTACATATATGCTTACTGTAGTAGGTAAAGTACTTACATTATTGCCCTTTTGGATGTGATGCCGTATGGCATTCCTCTTCAGCGACCTGCTTTATGGCACCTGGCACCCTTATAACATGGGGTCACAGAGACATTGATAGATTTTTCCTCCCTATTTTCCTGTTGACTCTTCAGGTGTGGGGTAGGTGTTTGGCACTGGCTTAGCCAAGAGACTCCAGGAATTGGCGAGTTTTGGTGGACCTGTGTTGGAGGTCACTGGAAGACGTTGCTGTATTTTCCCAATGGGGTTTAGAGTTTAGAGGAGCCTTTGTGATTTTATCTTTTGGCTTTGACTTTGTTTGGCTACCCACAGTTCACAGAATGCCTGATGGTAGTATAGTCGGGTACGTTCTCGACCCTCAATCTGGAATTCCAGGTTCAAATCCCAAATGGGACAGAAATGGTTGGATGTGTTTCCTAATGTCCCTGTTTACCTAGCAGTAAATAGGTACCCAGAAGTTAGCTTGTTGTGGGGTTGCATCCTGGTTGGGGGGGTCAGTAATTTGACCCTGTGGAGGGGACCTCAATATAAGCCTAACATATGTATATACTGTACACTGGTTGCCTTTCCCCAACACAATGAGTTAATTATTATGAATTATCTGGCATCAGATTATTTTGTATATAAAGACGGTTCTCCAATTGATTTGCTGCTGTATTTGCACAAATCTAACCTTAACTCATTACCTTATGAAACCTAAGTATATATTAACCTAAATTTACCATATCTTTACTGTATCTAACATTTACCTAACCTAACCTTTTGATTTGGTCTTTTGTATTACTGTATAGCAAACCATTGCATGGTCCTAATTGCAAGTTCTATACTGTCTTCATTCTCCAACTTGTGTAACAAGACAAGAGCCTTACATATCTGACAGTCTTCAGTTTCCATTTTAATCTGGGAACAGTTGAGGGGGGAGGAAGCATACCATTTTTCATGCTACTCAAGGCTTCCTTTTTTCAGTTTCAAGATGACGAAAGCTGACAGTGAAAAAACGCCTCAACAACTGAAGGAGGAAGGGAATGAAGCATATAAAAACAATGACTGGGATACTGCGATTGAAAAATATACTCAGGTAAATCTTTAATACAAAGATGCTTTTATTTTATCAAATAATATACTTTAAATGTCGTATATCCTGCACATTGCAATATTTAGAAACCTTGCGGATTTTCATTATGGCTTTATTATACTGTATCTTTGGAAATCATTTCCAATTTTTTTCTAGATTTGTTTCCAGTTTCAGGCATACTTGCATGTGATATGCCTCTTTTATGTATAATTTCCTGCAGCCTTTCTGTCCATCCTTACTTGGTATGCCCAGCTGCTTTACTCTTGATTTTCTCTGGTGGGTTTGGAAGCCTTTTGTGTTTTGCCATTTCTGACTTGCCTGTCTTTCCAACAGACTGGAATAACCTGTACAATATTTATTTAGGGGTATGCCTCATTGTGCAATTAGTTATTACCTTAACCAGGGAAAAGGCCTAACTGCCTGACTTTTATGTTAGTTGTCTTATTCCTCCATTAATTTTGTTATCACCCTCTGTAATGTGGTGCTTATTACCCAACTCCACTTTTGTATTGTCACAGGTGCCATCTCCTTTTCAACTTTTCATATTCTTGACAGAATCTAGTTTGACTTGATATTGTCTGGCCGTAGTTGTTTAAACTTAACCTTTTACATCTGTCCTATGGAAGTCAATGTCCAATGGGCTGACAGTGCATCCAAATAGAATCCCTTACATTCTTCTGCAGCCCTTCATTTACACACTGCTGGCAATAGTGTCTATCTTGAGTTGCATTAAAAATTATTTGCTTATCCACTAGAATTTCATTCACATTTTAAACCAACACTTAATAAGACAGTACGGTAAAATTATAACTTGAGAATACAGTACAGTATTCTTTATATATGACAAAGGTCCACCTGCCAGTTTACAAGTTGACCATTATTGAAACTAATATGCTTTCAGACCATTACAAATATATAGATAAAGATGCAGGTGGTTTAAGGGCAGGTTTGGTGTGTCTTTCTATTCACTTTACCCTGAGAATGGGATCCAATTCATTTACATATGTAAGGAAATTCTTGTACAAGAGGTTTACAAGTGAAATGCATTGCAAAAATATGGCACAAATCTTCAACATCATAAGAGGCAATAAGTGACTAGGGGGGGCAGGGCATAGAGAGCTAGGTCTCGCTTCCCTGTAGTTGCAATTTACCACAATTTTGTCGATAAAAATGCAAATTGTTTATATTTGTACTGAATTCTTCCATTTTCAGGCCATTACAATTAGTACTGAAGATAGGGATTCTTCAGTTTTATACAAAAATCGTGCTGCTGTTTATCTCAAAATTGAGGATTTTGAGAACACTGTGAAAGATTGCACACGCTGTAAGTCATAATTTTCTAGTTGTTTAAGTATTTCTGCACCACCCACTTTGATTTCAAATTAAATATCTAGAAAATTAAGGAAAGATAATTTTTCTCCTTCATGATGTTTATACAAGTCATAAGAACAGCTTTTACTGCATCAATCTTTCAGAAAAATAATGTACTTTCTTGTGTCACATGTTTAGAGGTTTGTGCCTTGTGGTTTAACAAATATTATTTCTTTTGTAGTGAAAGTATGTAATTTACATTTCATTTCAGTGAATACAGTATTTTAGATTTTTTGTTGTAAACTTGGGTAATATAATGCTATCACTTCAATTTTTCACATATTAGGCCTCGAAATTACTCCAAAAGACCCCAAGGCACTGTTCCGTCGAGCCCAAGCCTATGAGAGTTTGGAGCAGTTTGAGAAAGCATATGCAGATGCCAGGGCACTCCAGTTTATTGACCCAAAAAATAAAGATGTTCAGGAAATGTTGTCAAGATTACATAAAATTGTACAGGACCTGGTAAGTATAACTTCTCTAAAGTTGCGTAAATTTATGTAGGATTGGAAGTATAAATTTGTTCTGTGTGTTTCATTTGTGTAGTACCAAATAAATCTGCATTTAATAAAAGCAGCATTCAGTAATTTTATCATAAATGTAATTTTCTTAACATTATATTTTCACAGATTGAAGAAAAAACCAAAACTTCAGGAAAAGTTCAACAATTGTTTGAAATTCTTTTTGATCCAGGCTCTGAAAAAGACAAGAGGGAAACTTGTGCCAACAATCTTGTGGCTTTGGCTAAGGAAAGAGCTGGTAAGATATTATATGCATTTTATGGCTGTGGTAGATGATGACAGGTATTGTTGTTACTTATAAGTACAGTTCAGTACAGTACTGTATTTTGATTTTTCTTGGAATATGAAATATCAGCTTATTGAAATGTATTAAGTAATCATGGATGCTCACAAATACACCCAAATAGCTTAGTGATGCTCCAGGGAAGGTTTAAAGTCTTGGTTGGGCACCAGTTAGGTACTTGACCCATCCCATGTTGAACAGTGTATGAATAAAAAGAGTTGGGAGGACTAAATTGTAGAATTGTGCGCTCGGCTATGAGCAACCACTTTTGCCTCGCATCAAAACCAAGATATTTAAACTGCCTTGGAGGAGGATGGGTGGCATTGGTGTGTTTTCATCCTTATCCTCCCCAACTCCCACCATCCTTATCCTCCCCAACCCCTCACCATCCTTATCCTCCCCAACCCCTCACCATCCTTATCCTCCCCAACCCCTCACCATCCTTATCCTCCCCAACCCCTCACCATCCTTATCCTCCCCAACCCCTCACCATCCTTATCCAACCTAACCCTTCATCTTTATCCTCCCCCAACCCCCACCATCCTTATCCTCCACAACCCCCACCATTATTTGTGAGTGTATCAGCTGCCTGTACATCAGAAACTATGCTACTTTCCCCCCTGACTGTCTTATTCTGTGGTTTTACAAGACTAAAGCCACTAAAGCAAACATTGTTACAGAATACATTGTACTATACTTGTAAATATTTAAATTAATAAATAGCTACTATATTTTCCAGTGAATTGTAGGCATGATTTTGGTCCACCATTCAACCCGACTTATACTGCATTATACATAATCGTATGTTTTCCATACAAAACCACTTGAAATCATTTTTAATGATGAAACGTACTAAAAAATAAATCCCACAAAACATTATAAATTAGTTTCTTTATACACTTAATTTGCAGTGTGTGACACAAGTAAGCACTATCTGCCTGACCTCCCAATTTTTTTTCCCGAAGCTCTTCCTCCCACCCCTGTCCTGCCCTCCTGTTCACTCAAGAATTGTCATACTTCTGTATTTCAACAGGTGCTGAGCTTTTGTTGAAGCAAAATATACTGGCTCGAATGGTTCAGATGCTGAAGACGGAAGCAAATGTTGAAATTAAAGTTGCTTGTGCTAGAACATTATCTGAATTCTGCAAGGATTTAGATAGGGTAGGTACTCTGGTTTATTCTACAGTAATAACTTTAACTATACCTTTTATGCAAATCCATGGAGTTGTTAACAAGAAGAAACAACGATTTTCACATAAGAAATTCCTTAAGAGCATAATTTTTGTTATTCATACCCTTAGAATAATTGATGTATACTGTATTTGTTGTGATACAGGTTGGCCAATGGTTTTGGCTTGGGGTGCAGTCAAGAGAGCCAGGATCACTAGACAGCCATTTTGGCTTAGCATTCCTGATAATTAATTTACCTTGCTCAAAAGTACAATACTTAAAGTGAAATACTGTATACTGTTGAGAAGAGGATTTTTGTGACATAGAAACAGTGTTTTGGGGTGATGCCACCAGATAGCAGCTCATATTAGGACATTTATTTTTAATTTCCAAGTATTGAAAAGTTTCTTATGAAAGTCAACTAAAGTTTAAATTCACAACCAAAGGGTTCAGAACTAAGTAAAGGATGGGCTTCTTCCACTAATGTCCATCTGGGCAAACAACTTAATGTAGTGAATGTGTGGGGGGTTTGGATTTGAGGTATAAATGTGTGTGAGAGGTGGAAGTGGTCATGCATGTCCACACTGTATATAGGCATCCATCAGTCTCAGGAGACTATGGAGTTGCACTCTGGTTGTCGGTCTGGAGCAGAAAATCACTGGGATTGTATTTTAGATTCCAAAATAGTATTGCTGTACTTTTTTTTTTTGTTTAGCAGTGCTCATACATGTATATGTATTGCCTTCAGTATTCCCTACACATGGTTGGTATCAGAGATAATACCAGTCTATATATATACTCAAATGTGTCAGTTTGTCCGGACACTGAGTGTATAAACACATGTCTGTACCTCTCTTTCCTTTCTTGGGATTTATATTTATAGGATATCCATTTATAGGATAAACATATTACGACTGGTGACGTTCATTTACTAAACCCTTGTCTTGTGGATACGAGACACTAAACACATGCATATTCACAAATTCTCTTATTTGATTCCATACCCATTGTATTTCTCAGACCAAGACGATTCTGCAAGAAGTGGGTATTCCTTGGCTTCTAGACCTAATGAACAGTAAAGATCAGGTACTAGTCAATGCCACACAGTACACCATCCAGACAATCTTCAACACCCTGGCTGGCATGGATATTAAAAAGGAAAAGAAACCTGACAAAAATCTTCTAGCAGGTAAGCTTTTTATTATTTCTGGATCTTTGCAAAAAATAAAATAATTAACAAGAATTGCCTTCTTGCCCAGTATTGAACTAATATAAACTAGATTTTGTAAATAAATAGAAGTAGTGAACAAATAGAACTGACAACAATGAAGAGAAACTCCAAGAAAAGTTGAATTAATTTGTAGATCATTGATAATTAACCTCATTCACACATAAGAAATCAGTGACAGCATTTCGGTCTGTCCTGGACCCTATCAAGGGTTCAGGATGGCCCAAAATGTTGTCCCTTTCATTTCATTTGCGTGAATTCGGTTAGTTTCAGCCACTTTATTGTAACATATTTTCTATTTGTAGATAATGATTTGCCTGTATAATGTCTATTCTCATCTTGCTGCTTCTCTATGTAGCAGATATATTTACTGTATTAGTAAACCTTACTGTATATGTAACTACATTTATGATTATATTAAAAGAATTTGGCAGACTTTTAGAGATGAATGCTAATATGGGAGAGGGCTAGGGATGCTTCCATCAATCACATTTCACCAGTCATTCAATATCTAGTAAAGATTATTGTATTCAGGAGACTAGCATAATCACTTAATTCTGAAAGGAAAGGAAATCATTCTCTCTATGGTGCAGTATGCTTTCTCTTTTTGCTAGGCAGGAGCATATTATTACATGGATATCTCAAAAACAGGGTTAACAAATTTGTAAGAATGTTTTAGGATTATGGTACAGTATATAGTACCTGTATACCTGTATTGTGTACAAAATCTGAGCTTTGAATCCATTTCAAAGCTTAGCACTGAATCCATTTCATGTTTTTCAAGAACTACCTTAGAGTACAGTAATTATAATTTGTATTTGAAGTGAAGGAATGATTTTGGCCAGTATCCTTTAACAGTGTTATTAACTTAAAATGTCACAAATGTGCCCAACCAAAAATTTAAACACCAGCTGTTGTTATTGAATTGGTATTCATTTCAAATAAAATAAAATTGTATATACTGTATTGTGTTCTGTAGAAAATGTTTTGAATAACACAGTTTAATAATTTGTGTATCAAGATGTGTTTCTTACCATTTGTTAGTTGTTTTGCAGGAGATTAAGTTCTGTGACAAAAACATTTGATGCTCTGTGTTGTTTCAAATAGGGAGGATGACTTTTACATGTCTTGGAGTTAGATATACCATACAGTATTCATCTTTAAACCTTGTTAAATGTCTATACATATATTGAACTAATGTATTTACTTCAGCAAATCAGAAAGAAATTGACAGTTTGATGGCTACTATGGTCTCTATTGTGACCCAGCGTACCATGAGCGGAGAGTGCAGAGATGCTGTAATAGAACTTATCCTGAAGAACGTGACATATGAAAAACTGAACTGGGGTGACAAGTTCATTAGAATGGGAGGTATTATGATACTTTTTATTTTACATTAAAATAGTTTATGTATATAAAGTTGTTGATGCAAATGCATTATTGTTTTAATGTTTTAATCTTAAAAATAAATTTAGATAAGTGGAAACAATAATTTGTATATATAGCCTGAAAAGGAGTGCTTTCTCTTGATAGCTTAATAATGATGATAATGATGGTTTATTCCTAATTGTAAATATTTAGGCTAATAATGATCAAATGTGCAAGATACTAAAAAAGTATTCTCTTTCAGGTATAGAGAAAATGTTAGACATCTGTTCTGAGCTGGAGGAATTTAATTTTGAAAGTCGTATAGATATCACTGATAATACCCGCATGACAACGGCTATCTGTCTCTCTAATGTGTATGACACGCAATATGACGACAAGATGAAGGAGGCTTACCATCAACGAGTTGATGAATATATCAGGTGAGTGTTGGTCTGCATCTTGGCAGATATTAGTACTCATATACTGTACATTAAGGATTGCCAGCATGGTTTTTGAAGAAAGGATTCATGTTTGACAAATCTGTTTAATTTAGTTTGATATTGTTAACATGTGCAATAAAAGTCTTGAGTAGTATAAGTGGTTAGAACAAGAGTTGCACCATAACATAGTTGTGTTCAAGCGTGATGTTGTTTTGATAGTTCAAATGTTTATTAAATTGCATAAACATTGGTAGGCAAACTGAACCAAACTACATGTCCCGAGATTGAAAATATGCTCTTCATTTCTTTCAGATTACGACTGTTAACGCCAGATATAGAACACAAAATTCGTGTCACTGTTGCCATAACAACTTTGCTACTTGGACCTCTAGATGTAGGGGGCAGGCTCATCACAAAAGAAGGTATCTTGGAGATGATGTTGGTTATGGCAAACACAGATGATGTCTTACAGCAGAAGGTGGGTTAACATTTTAAGATAGTGACATGGTTTCCTTAATTAATGGAGTAAAATATTTATTAATGTTTAAAGCAGTATGGTGTTGATTGAGAAGAACAAAAGTAACAGTAGGCACTGTAGACAAACTTCAAAATTCTGGATTATAGTGTTTGTGACCTGCTCCAGATTTACATGAAATCTGGATTCCTTGAAATTTGTCCATATTTTTGGCTACATAGCCCCAAAGTTTCTATAATTTTCATGTAAAACTTTTTGTTTTAAATATGCTCAATTGCCTACCCAAGGCACCAACTGTTTCTCCAAATGTTGCATTAAAAATGTGATCAAACCCATAATAATATATATATATATATATATATATATATATATATATATATATATATATATATATATATATATATATATACACATATATATATATATATATATATATATATATATACACATATATACATATATATACATATACATATATATACATATACATACATATACATACATATACATACAGTATATCCTTTTGTGATTTTTCCCCCCATTTGATTTGTTAACTATTTTTTATACTCATAAAGAAGCAGTTCTTTAAATAGCAGAGTATTCCAATGGCTAAAAAAGTTGTTCTTGATCGCCATGTATGAATTAGGAGTACCCTGTAATATCAAAATTGTATTTTCTCCTATTTATCAGATTTTTGTCTGTGTATAAGCTAGACTTAATTTACAATGTGTGTTGCATCATACATTTATTGAAAGTGATGTTCAAATTGTATTTAAAATTGTTGACAAGTTCACTTGCAAATTTTAATTTACCAAAACCACTTGACCCAGGTTGCCTGTGAAGCTCTTATTGCTGCAGCATCCAAGAAGGACAAATGTAGACCTATTATAACACAAGGTACTGACATCTTGAAGAAACTTTACCAGAGCAAGAATGATTCAATTCGTGTGCGTGCTTTGGTGGGATTATGTAAGCTTGGTTCTATGGGCGGCACTGACGCTTCTATGAAACCTTTTTCTGAAGGAGCTTCTCTTAAGCTGGCAGAAGCTTGTAGAAGGTTTGTTGGTTATATTTTCTTATTTTTTTGTATTGCATTTTGATTACTGTTTTATCTAGAATCTGTACAGGAAATAATAATTTCAACCAACTAACCAGGTATCAACCAGACATTTAGGGAGGATATAGACTTATATTCACCTAGTTGTACTTGCGGGGGTTGAGCTCTAGCTCATTCGGCCCACCTCTCAATTGTCAAATTTTTTTTCCTCACACACACACCCCAGGAAGCAGCCCGTAACAGCTGTCTAATTCCCAGGTACCTATTTACTGCTAGGAAAGGGCTGTCAGGGTGAAAGAAACTCTGCCCATTTGTTTCAGCCTCCACCGGGAATTGAACCCGGAAGCTCAGGACTACGAATTCAAAGCACTGTTCACTCAGCTGTCAGGACCCTAGCCTGACGTATGATTGATAGCTTTCATTTATTCAATACATATTGCAAGATAATATCTATTAGAATTATTTTAATACTGTTACCCTTCTAGCAGTGAAGCTATGTTTTGAAAAATCCATAATTTATATTCATTTAAATTGTAACAAAATAATGCTGCATAATTTTGCACAGTTGTTGACTACTGTTTGTCTTATTGAACACATTTATCACATTTGTTTGTGATTAACAATCTTTTGAGACACAGGTTTAGAGAAAAATATTTGTCAAAGTATTTTCTCACAGGTTCCTTGTTAATCCATCGAAAGACAAGGACATGCGACGATGGGCCTGTGAGGGCCTTTCCTACCTTACCCTTGATGCTGATGTTAAGGAGAAGCTCATTAACGACAGACCAGCCATTCGTTCAATGATTGAACTTGCTAAAGTAAGTACTGTTTAGGTAAGGTAATTAGGAGGAGAAAGTGCTAAGTCAGTATGCCTATAAAGTACTAGTAAGAAATATGAGGACAAGCAACTGGGATACAAGGACAGAGTGAAAAAACTGTGCCCAACTACTTGAACAATTCGATCCTGTTTTTTTTGGTGCTTTGCTATGATCGTAACTGGGCTCTGTTTTCACTAAAAGTAAGTGTATGTTTCCTTTTGCATGCAGTCTGGATCCCTGGCATTTTTTCTTGTTGAGATTTGGTGAGGTATAGTCAGGCAAGTCTGCTAGCTGAGACCCTTGACTTTTCTTGTTTTTTGGGTTAGTTGCACACTTTTCTTATGATTTTATGCAGTGTTTTATGCAATTTGGTGTTTTTTTTTTTTGGGGGGGGGAGGGGGGGGCTCTGCTGGCTTCCCTGATCTTGTAATGGTGATAACATTTGGTGGTAGTTTGTGTAACTTTGATATACTAACAGCACTGTAGTTTACAGAAGGATAATTGGCAGCCTTGGTACTTCTAATTTTTGTTTGCTGGGTGTGTTGGAGGGTTGTATTTTGTTTCTTTGTAGTATAGACCTGGTGCTCACAGTTGTGCCTTGAACTAGAATCACCAATATTGCCAATCTCAAAATACAAGTTAATATATTTAAAAATCAATACAGCCTGTTGGATGCTATGAATCCTGAGGGATCATGTAAGAGCTATCAAAGCTATCAAATTTTAAATTGTTTTGTTAAACTACCATTCAAGCTGTCATTGCAATCATTCTGAGCTACCTATGTGCTTTAATATACCTACAATTTTTCTCTCGACTTTTATTTTTTTCATGCTTTGTAACTGTTATCATTTTTATAAATTTTGCAAGTATTTACCTGCTTATAAGTTTCTTTAGATTAAGGACCTGCCTGAAATGCTGCGCGTACTAGTGGCTTTACAAGAATGTAATTACTATGCTATGTATCCTCACAATCCCAATGTACCTTCTTGTATATATATAAATAAAGGGAATGCCTCAGAGAAATTTTTCACTACTGTACATTTAAACACCTTGTTTTATTATCAAAAGTTTTATTTGAATAATTGTAATGTTGCTGGTACATCATTAACAAGTTGTACATCTTTATGTACTAATCATGACAATCTCCGCCAAGAAAGTGATGATGACTTAACTTTCCAGTTTGGTTTTGTGTGAGTAAATGTATTGAATTCACATTTACGAATGATGCTGTACTTATATTATCTATTTTCTTATTGTTTTCAGTCTGGTGACATGAACTGTTTGTATGGTGTTGTGGCAACCTTTGTCAACCTCTGTAATGCATATGACAAACAAGAAGTAATTCCGGAGATGGTCGAGTTGGCAAAGTTTGCTAAGCAGCATGTTCCCGAGGCTCATGACCTGGATGACCCTGATTTTATTGAAAAGCGTGTCAAGGTACTTGCTGAGGAAGGTGCTGCAGGAGCTCTTACAGCACTCAGCAAAACTGATAGCCATAATTCCAAGGAACTTATTGCAAGGTACTATATATTTATACATTTTTTTTATTAATAAAAGGCAAAAAAAAAATGAAATGTGTGCTCTGCTGTTCATTAAGCCCTCATAAATTTTAAATTATGTAGGAAGAATGGAAAAGAAAACATTCCAGAAACTTCCAAAGTCCACTTTTCTTGGAGGGGCCCTTGGTAGCTTCCTGAGCTTATTGCTAGTCTAAGTAAGATTACATAAAGTTTAAAACTTGAGCTTTGCTCGTTTCACAGATTAATTATATCCCATTGTATAGTATATGAGAGGAATGTATTAGTCTAGGTAAGTTATTGCAGTATGCAAAGTGAAGTAGAGACTTGTGTAAGTGCATTATATAGAAAAGGCAGGTCAGGAGGATACAGAGTGCATCAAATGTGTCAGACCTTGTAACAACTTTATACTTGACCATGCTTGCCTTTTACAGACTGCCTAATCATGCTCTGCATTATTTGCAAGGCAAGTGTCGATCTTTTTAATATATTTCTTCTATGAAGATGGGCATATACTGTACACATAAATTTTTTATTTCAGGCTGTTCAATGCCCTGTGTCAGATGCAAGAAAATAGAGGTTTGGTAGTGCAGCAGGGAGGCTCCAAGGCTCTGCTTGGCCTGGCAGCAGAAGGCACAAAAAAGGGGAAGACAGTAGCAGCACAAGCTTTGGCTCGCATTGCCATCACTATCAATCCAGAGACAGCTTTCCCAGGACAGAGAGTAAGTGAAATGAACTCTTTAAATACTCTTCCATTTACCTAATTTATAATAAAAAGTAAAAAAGGATTATGGCAAATATCCACAAATCACAATCGTATCTGGAATGATAGACGTGCAATCTACCTGTACATTATTTCTAAGTCTACCTATGTTTGTTTATTTTAAGCGAATCGTCAGTATCTTCTTGAGTTATCTTGAGATAACTTCGGTGCTTAGCGTCCCCGCGGCCCGGTCCTCGACCAGGCCTCCATTTTGTTACACCCTCCCCCCCTTTCCCAGGAAGCAGTCCGTAGCAGCTGTCTAACTCCCAGGTACCTATTTACTGCTAGGTAACAGGGTCATCAGGGTGAAAGAGGCATTTTGCCCATTTGTCTCCGCCTCCACCGGGGATCGAGCCCGGGACCTCAGGACTACAAATCTGAAGCGCTGTCCATCCAGCTGTCAGGAGCCTTACAGGAGAGTACAATATTTATACTGTACATCATCAAGTATTATTCACAAATTTAAAATAGAATCTATATTTGTTCAAGGTTGGAGGCCAGGCACCCAACTTTTCAAGATGACACAGAGGATATGGGAGTGTCGTAGGTCAGTCAGGGTTGGGCCCAGTGCTACCCTTTTAAGAAATATCAGCACCCATAGCAATTCCCTGCAATTTTCACAAAATCTTAAATCTGGGATTTGTTTTCCATAATGTTTTCATTGTTTTTTTAGCTGTCATTAATAGACTTTTCTGAGAGAGGAAGGTAGGGAGATAGAGGATGTTGTGGTGGAAAGGTGAGCAACAGAGGGAGTGGAGGCATGTTGGGGAGAAAGGTGAAAAGGGGAGAAGAGGAGACAGATGGGAAGAGAAACCCAGGTACAGTACTTAATATTCTATACATTTTCACATGATTCTCAATCTTTTATCAGGCCTATGAAGTTGTACGACCACTGTTAAAGTTACTGGACCCAGAGTGTGAAGCTTTAGAGAACTTTGAGGCTCTGATGGGTCTCACTAACATTGCTGGAATGTCAGAATCTACTAGAAAACGCATCATAAAGGAGAGAGGATTGCCATTAATTGAAAATTACATGTTTGAGCACCATGAAATGATTAGAAGAGCAGCTATTCAGGTAAGAAAATAAGTATAAAGCAACACTTTGTTAAGTCACCGCTTAAAAAGGTTTTGTACTTGTACAATACAATCCTGTTCCTACTGTTTTGTTAATTGGGAGCTTGTTAGGTTAAATATCAGGATAGCAGCGTTCTGTACCTCTTTTAGTATGTATAGTACACGTGCCTAACAGCCATCTGCCAATGCAAGAATTGATACTTGGGTTTTCTTGAGGCTGAGTGCCACATGGAGGAGGGTTTAAGAATAAATGAATGAACTAATGGAGATCATTCTGAACTGGATGAAGTAATCTCTAGTGTGTCTCAGCCCCTATTGTCACTGGCAGGTATAAGGAGATCCTGCAACGACATAATAAGTCAATGGGGCTTGTCTGTCTCTCGTCCAGGTACAGTAGTTAAATGGACAGATCAGACTGGAGCATTTTTACTTAGATTATAATTTTTTGAACAGTTTAACCAAAGTAAAAATGCTCCAGTCTGATCTGTTCATTTGACTGCTGTGACTGGACCAGAGACAGACAATTAATTTTAATGATTATAAATATTGATGATAGTTTTTTATATTAAAATACAGTATATATCATTTTAATTAGTGATTGTTGTTAGTGGAAATATTAGTATATAATTTTTTATCAAAGTGAATTTAAAATACAATACAGTACAGTACTTGACGGTACTGTACTGTATTAATGTGTATTATTTTTCTTCTTACAGTGTATGGCAAACATGTGTGCATCTCCAGATATAGTTAAGATACTGGAAGGGAAGAATGACAAGTTTAAGTACCTGTTTCTGTGTACTTCTGATGAGGATGAGGAAATTATTAAGGCAGCTACTGGTGCCCTCTGTATGGTCATGTCAGAGTCACCCAAGTGTTTGGTAAAAGTGTTCGAGGTGAGAGTTGGTAATGTCTTCTGTACCACATGCAAATCATTTTTCTGTGAGCTGTCCAGTATGTATTTCCATAACTAGGGTTGTGACATTGGTTATGTTGGAGACGATGTGCAGGCCTTACTGCACAATTAATGGAGCAGTATTCAGTTTACCTGATTTACTCAACTATTTTGCCTGCATGTTGTGGGGCTCAATTGTTGTATTGCCTCTTAATGTGAAAACTACCATACTTTTCATATCTAGCATTCATCAGAAGATAATTTAACACATTAATTTATAAATCAAGACATTTTCTAGAATTGCTGTACTGTACAAACTAATTTTACAAAAGTCATTCTAATACTCTTAATTTGTGTAGGCCAATGATTGGGAAGAAATCCTCAAGTTCCTGCTTTCTCATGGAAACAAGGAGATACAGTACCGTGGGACTATCATTGTTTATCTCCTGGTCTGTCACGACAAGCAGACAGCTGAGAAGGTGATCGATACACATTGCAAGGTGAGATATAATTGTGCAACACAAAGTGAAGTGTTGCAAGCATTTGATTTATGGTTGACTGTCAGCCATTCAGCTGGGGATAGGCTGCAGGGAACTAGTATTGGTGTTTAGAGATTAGTAATGCTGTTGAGAGTAGCTTTCACACATCCTCAATGGCCTCCAGTCCCCCTGCAATTTGTACACCTGTGATAAGTTGATTCCTACCAGAGGAAGGCTCTCATATTGCAGCCATCCAGTAAAACAAGTGATAGGCTGCAATGTTAGTCATGGAGGGTCTACTGCTGGTGCACATCACAATTCATCCCAGCTGTTGTGTGTACCAGGGGGGTAGAGTCTGTGACTTTCACATTGCAGGCAGCCAGCTGCAGGTTATTTTGACCAATGGCTGTATTGTAAGAGCCGTCCTCTGGTAGGCACCAACTTAATATGATAGTATTCTAATTGTATGAGACTGACCTGATCTCAACAGCATTATGATCCCAAACATTTCTGATGCACTCCTACCAGCCAGTTACTGTTAGAAATCATTGTGGGGAGCAGTAACATGGGATAGGGGGACAGTTTATAAATTTAAGTATCTATGATATATGACTGAAAAATAAGTTTTTGAAATAAGAGCCAGAGGGCTGCATGAAAGCAGTGATGCCTTTCTATGGATGCAAAATAATGGTGGAATAATCATAGAAAATCAAGAATATGAGGAGTAAGAATGAACAAAGAACAATCTTAGAAGTATGTGTGATACGAGAATTGATAAAGGATTGAAAATGTCAAGAGCAGATAAAATACTGCAAGACTGAGAACATGCACAGAGGGTATGGACATGTAGTGAATGGATGATGGTACAGTGAAGTGTATTCAACTGGTTTTGAGGGTAGGAGTTCTTAATGTTTTCAGAAATTGTCTATTTAAACCATTTTTAACTACTTACAGTAGTTATTAATTATTAATACTTACAGTACAAAGTCTGTTACCCAGTTGCCTGTATTTTCCTGAAGCTAAATATTGTGCACTCCTATTTCCAGACTGCCCTTGAAGCTATTTCCAAGATTGACAATCCAGAATTAGTTTTGCCCAAGGCTCGTGAATATGCACATGATACATTGAAGCTATGTGCAACTCAGTGGAAGCTCATCAAGGATCCTGATGTAGTAGATGAATAAAAATATATACTGTACCTTATGCCAGGGCCATTTCTTCAATCAACCAGAAAGTCGGTAAACTGCCAACTAATATTTAACCTAAAGCTTAATATGAGCATTTTACATTAAACATTGTTTATTCAAATTTTAAATGAGAAATTTCTACATACACACACCATTTCCAATCCTTAAAAATATGAACTAGTCAAATTGAATTAAGATATCGTACTATATGAACGAATACATACGGTACTTCCTCAGTGCTCAGGAGTTTAAAATGTAGAGCCTTACTCTTACACAAGGCTGGTGTATAATATGCATTGGTATTCCAGTTGAGATGATCCTATTCATAAATGCTAGTAGTTATCAGCGATTAGATTTTAAGAGTTTCTTGTGGCGATTCATGGGTGGTTAACTTAAGACGAGGTTACCTCGAGATGATTTTGGGGCTTAGCGTTCTCACGGCCCCGAAACCAGTCCTCCTATGGGTGGAAGACATTTGTGCCTTAGCATTATTTATTGTTAGATATAAAATTTGTGTAAACCATGTTAAATTATTGATTGCTGTGTATATTTATCTTTTATCAATTTGTAAAGTGTTTCTAATAAAATGTAAATTTCAATTTACTGTACAGTACTTTAATTATATTTTCCTATCTACATGTCAGATTCACTTTAATTTACACAAGGACCACCACCCCTAGTGACCTAGACAAGGGCAGGAAGTAATTATCAACACATGGCACCATGGCTATGTCGCACCACCAGAATTGCTGACTATTCAAAAGGCATTATCACTAGGATGACAATGCAAGGAAAAAAAAAAAAAAATGAGCGATATCAAAGGTATTGGATTAACTAATGATTCTACAAAGGGACATTAAGGAAAGCAAAACTGATGATCGTCCTGAAAATCAGGACATTGTACTAGTTGCAGGACTGCAAGTGGGTCAATAAGGAGTAGGGCAGCATTCCTTTACATGTCCAAGGGGACAGATTACCTTTAAGAGTGCACCGTTTGTTACCTATAACAAAAGACCAATGACCGCAGATTGATTGACGACTGGGGTAGAAATCGGTATAAGGAATGTCTTTTTGGGAAATGGGACAAGTGCATATGGCCTCCTTAGCAGCAGTCACCACATGTTCATTTTAGGTGATGCCAATATGGTTGGGAACCCAGCCAAGGTTAGAGAGACTACAGAGCTATGAGAGCACAGAGTCAACCACAATGACAAAGTTATGTTGACATTTGAGAAAAATTGACAAAAACATAAAAAATTGCATAAAGTTCTGCTGTGGGGATGCTAGTCTGTAGGTGTTGGTAGCACATCTAGGTTTAGTCAGGAAAGACTATGTAGCCAACACCGCTGGCAGACTTAGCCCTATCTATGAAGATTATACAACATAGTGGAAATGTGAAGTGTTCAAGGAAAAGGGATTTTATGACAGCAGGAGGGGTATAAGCCTTTACCATGTAGGTCAAGGTCTTGCAAAACTTTACATATTTTATACCATACCACCATGACCATTTGTCAAGTTCATATAGATTCTTTTGTAAGATTGTTGTTTCTGCTCGGTACATTACCATAGATCTGTGTCAACTGCAAATTTGATATGGTTTGTGATTTATTCTATATTGTTGATGCATATTAGTTTCTGTACCTGTGTCTTGTCTGGCACTGATATCAAATGGAAAACAGAGCAATATACTCAAAATCCACCAAGTACTATTAAAATAATTGTAAAATTGCATGAACAGATATGTCCTTCACCAATTCACCCAACTTAAAAGACAATTGCCTGCGCAAAATGCCACCACCATTGATTGGCCCCTCCCTTCTGTGGAGCTCCTTGCCCAGTGCCACACCAGCTGTGCTGGATCAGCAGAATCTCCTACACAAGTTCCTCCACTTTGTGGAGTAAGTCAAGATATTGGGTCAACACCCCTTGCAATAGCCCTCTGCTGACCTAAGACCCTATCAGGCACCAGACAACACAGTACGTACTGCAACGCAAGGAGGTATGAGATTACCAAAAAATAACAACACATTATGAACAATTTGGATATAAATCTGCTCTAAAAAATATAAAAAATTCCACTTACATTTTTGTTGCACAGGCTGGTCTTGGTAACCCAGTAAGGACATATTACAGTTACCATATAATATATTTACCTAATTGTCTATGGGGAGCAAGATTCAGCTATTGAATCTCTTGACCTCCCATCTCCATATCACATTTGCTCTTGAAACTGAATGAGTGCTTACTGTACTTACTCATTCCATTTGCTTGCCATTTGCTGCTAACATGTTTCCTTACATTTCTCTGGCACATCAGTGATTCCAACTTCCACCTGTATTCCCTCATTCTCTTGTACCTCACCTGGAAAAAGACCGTCTTCATTCACAGTCCATTTACCTCATTACCTTTTGTCAGTCATATTACCTTTAGTTCTCCTTTCTTCAAATGTCAGTGCTTTTACTGTATGTCAATATGCCGTATCACATCACCCCATAACTGCACATTTAACATTAACAGACCTTGAAGTTCTCAAAGCCTATGATTTGTGCCCTTCTTTCAGCTATGGATGATGCTGTCTTACTACTGGTAAACATCTTCATCCAAATCCTGTCTTAGATTTCAAATTTTTCAGGTCACTTCTTTTACCACCGAGGTCCTTCCTTTTTCTAACCCCAGGATCCGTTTCTTTTGCTTTTGTGTCAAAAAGGTACTAAAACCAATGCCCTCAAGTAAATCACACAAGCCTGGGAGAAGGGATAGGACAGCCCAGTAATAACACAAAGTTATTAAGTTCCAAGGTCCATCCATTGGAAGACAAGAGAATGTACATACTATATAGGAAGCTGAAGCAATAAAATTCACCTGGGCTGTAGAGTATTAGAGAAAGCAGTTAAGTCTGTTGGGACCAATGCCACAGTCTGATACCTAAACCCAAACTGCAGCCAAGAAACTTAAGGAAAAAAATCTCCCCTCTGCAATACAAAAAATATTAGGAATGGGTCAGAGCTAGATCCAAACAGTAGATCAACTCACAGACCCTTGTGTATAGGCAGCCTATGTTAATATTTATACACAAGACTTTCATAGACCCTCCATGCTCTATCTGAACAGGACTGAGCCTAGTACATAAAAAAAAAAAAAAATGTATGCATTCACCGAGACGAAGATTTGCTTTACGGAAATACAAGGAAAATATCCATAGCGGACATAATGCAACTACAGGTATACTGCAAAGCAGATGGGATATATTGTAGATCTTGAAACCATAGTCAAAGGGCTAAAAAAAAAAAAGTAAACCAAGATTGAAAAAGCAATGAGATAACGGCATAAAACCAGACAACACAGTTACGTCGAGAATGGAGATATAAACAATCCTAACAAAAGTTGCTCTGCTCTGGCAGGCACATTCTAGGACAAGAATGAATTATGTGACCTAGAAAAGTCACATCATATGGGTAAAATCCACAAAAAAAAAAAAAAAGGAAGGCCCAGAACCTAGCAGGATTGGAAATAATAACATGATAGAAATTAATATTTCAATTGTTCAGTAGTTGACACTGAAGACCTTTACCAAGGTTATGAATGGAGAACAAGGCAGGTTGAAGCAGTCCCAACGAGGTCCAACCAGCCTTGGCAAAATGAACTAGGTAAGAACTGGCATTAATAGAGCAAGAAGCATCATACAGCTCACAAAACTCATCTCCAAGAAGAAAGCCACATACATCTTGACAAAAGAAAACAAAAAATTGTCTACAGGGTAAAAGTGAGAGGAGACATGCAGCATCTATGGCGAAAACACCATAATTAAGGGAACAGAGCTACACAACAGGAAGCTGGTGGTGCCTGCTCAACAACATGGATGCACTAAGTATAAACCTGCACTAGGCATTATTCTTTGCATACAGGTGAATATTACAAAGATTTAAACCAAATTTAGTGTCTTCTAAGTTGTATCGTCTTGATGTTTTTACTTGAATGCTCTATACAAAGATTTAAATACAAATTAAATTAATTGGATTACAATGATACAAACCATCCATTTCACAATATATTTTAGTACAGTAATAAACCCCACTAATTAAATGTAAATAACAGGAGTCCTCTCACATTTTTTGCAGTGCCTTTTACCTTCATATTCACTGTGCATGTTGCTTTTTTTTTATGTACTTTTGATATTGATAAATGAATGCATGAAACAAATAGTAGTCAATTAATATAAAAATGAAGATTATGATGAATGTTACTTGGTAGCACCTATGGGAGCACTGACTATTGCTTGCATGGAGTCTTTCACAAGACTAAGATTTGCTCTCCAGCCGCTGAGTGTGTCATGAAGGGCCTGCCACTGATTACGGCCAAATGTGCGATGGACTCTTGATGAAACATAAACCTTGTGTTGACTTTGATCCATTCGAGCACTCACAAGCTTGGTTTTCAAAGCTGCAAACAAATAATTTCTACATTAGAATTACATTACATTTAAAAAATAATTACATAGCTAAATGTTGCGCGTGGGTTAAGTACAAAACCAATCAGGAAAAGATCATATACAGTATGTACATGGAATTTAATCCAAGAAAAATTATACTGTACCAATACACCTTTTTAGATTTGTGAATTGGGAGTCTAATTTTCTGTCATGTTATTGTGATTTATTGTCTACATATATATGAGGGTGTGAGATATACTCAAGTGTAATAAAGCTGAAGAAACAAACTGGTCCAGGGTGAAGCATTTCTGTAAACATACAACCCCAGTGTACCCTTCGACAAATGCAAAAACTCTGGCCAGCACCGGAGATGAGCCAAGTGCTATTGCAGCACAAGCACACAGCTATTACAATCCCCATCAACAACCCTTACACCAGTAAACAAGTTAATGACATTCATTTTCAAGAACTTTTGTATACTGTAAAGCAAAATTTCTGAAAATTTTACACTAACAGACCCGTATAAAACAATTTTATTTTGTACCTTCAATAACAAATCCTTCCACTTCCTCAGGACCAAGCTGCAGCTCTTGCATGATGAGATCGAAGGACATCTCAGACTGACTCTCGGCCATTTGCATAAATGTTAATAATCTCATCTTCCGCACATTGGCCTCATGATCCAGACCTGATTTGGGGTTTGGAAGTTGTAAAATTAATGTAAAGACATGATGCATTATTTCACAATCAAAATTACAATAGCTTGATATTTATCTATGAGAAAATCTTTGGAGTAGGGCAATGAAATAGAACTCGCTTCCTGAACCACCCCCTGGGTATTATGTGGCGGAGAGGATGACACAGGACGCTAGCTCCATTCCATCCACTTACTCCAAAGATTTTCATATTTATTATTTCTGTCCATGCAAAACCTTATTAGTGGGACTGCCTCTTAGCCATTCATTGGCTACTTTCATTACAGAATTTTTGTGACATAAATATTGCAATATAGAAATGTAAGAAAATCATATCACTCCATAATAAAAGATAAGTGCATTAATAAACAATTTCTTATAGAATGATCAACATACCAACAGAAGAGATGAATTCCTTGTGGTTATTGTAGAAGTGAATGTAGCCGGGCAGCTTCTCCGACACAAATATAGTAAGTAGGTCGTGGATAAGTTCTCCTTCAAGGAACTTTACTGGCTGAGAAATGAAAAATAATAAATAATGAGCACAAAAATCTTACCAAAGGTTTGACTATGCTATGTATATGATTATTAATTAAATGGCTCAGCTAATTAAAAGTTCCACATCATGGTGTACACAATTAATAATTCAGTGTAAGACTAAAGCCAAAAAAAAAAAAAAAATCACATCTGGCAATTTTAGCATATGAAGTAATCACATGCATTGATTGTAGCTATTAAATTGTTAAACCACCATTGTGAGTTTGTTGGTACTGGTAATTACTCTAATACAGCATTGAAGAAAGTATACTAAAAAGCTTTAGGGTCTTTTAGTTATCTCAAGTGTACTACAGTACTTGTAGCCCTATGGATGTTTTATAATTATACCTTGAGTGTGAGCAGATGGTCCATGATGTACGTGGTGGGATCAGCAAGGGACGCAATGATGCAGCGGTGAGCATCTTCCCGGGCTTGAGATGCATTTTCTGTTGTATACGTTCCTAGTAGTTCTATCATTACTTTACTTGCATCCTCACTGAAATTATCAATAAATTACTTACGTTAAATTTCAAAATAATTTATTAAAGAAAATTAATCTCATTAAATTTAAAAATAATTACATTACATTATTAATATCACAACTTCAAAATAAATAGATTAAAGAAAATCATTAATATTGTGTTTTATAAATACAGTAAAGTAGAACCCCACTGGAAAAAAAATCCAGCTTAATTGAAATGTTAAATTTGGTCAATAATCAGCTGCAATGGGAAATTTTTTTTCTACTACTGTACAGTAGTATTTGAAGAGCTAAAAAGTACAAAAAACTAGCAGTGAATGTAATAAAATGTCTCTTTCTGGTGGCTGCCTATTGATAGTCACCTGGTTAGCTCCACACATGTGAAGTCATTCTAAGCCCTTGTGAAACATTAAAAAGCCTATCAGTGACCACAGAGCAGCAGATTCATGATCACTGTGAGAAACAAGTCACCAGAAAGGTAGAGCAAAACAAATCAGACAACAAGGCAAAATAAACCCTGAAAATGAGGCACCTGTAATCAAGTCATTCACCTAGACTGGCTGGTGCAGACTCGGTCATTTGCCTGATGCAACGTTCATTAGCTGCTCAAGTTGCCCAAGCTCTTTGGGAACAAAGTTGGAATATGCAGCACCCACACTATACATATTGATGATTTCCTGTAGCATGGCCTGTGGTCAGCGTTCCCTGGTGAATGCCTGGCCCTTGAGGTTGACCAAGCAATCACCAGGGAAGGCTGCCCCACAGGTGACGATTCAATTCCAAGGCGAGATGTCAACAGCCAATTGTGTGGTGCCACAGAAAAAGTGCAAGTCAATCAGCCCTTTGCAGCTGCTATTGTCCCCGAAGCTGTGTTCGACATCTGCTATCTCCTATACCTGGTGTCCTTGCTCGGTTTTTCTCGTTACAGCCATGGGCCTTTGGTGTGGTCTGGCCCTCTGAACCTATGTTCATGAATGCGAATTTGAGAGAAGCTTTTCACTTTTACTATACTATATGCTGATGGTCATTTATTTTGCCTCTGCATGCCACCTCTGAGTTTGTTTACATTCCTTCTTGTGTTGGTCAGTTCCATACACCGACAAAAGAAGTTCGTTTCGTTCTGGCGAAACAGAAAAGTTTGTTTCGTTCTATGTGTGGTGGTTGGATTCCTGTATCATGTTTGTTTCCTAGCCCCCTCTGTCTTTCCTGCATGGTGGCAACTGTTAGTCTCTGTCCTAGTGGTAGCATTTTTGGTGGTGTACATGGAGTACATGTCATCTGTGCAAGACTGCCTCTGCTTGCAGGTTTTCCCATTGCAGTGGTAATGTCCTGGGTTGGCTTGGGTGTTTACCCAGCAGAGGCAAGGCATAAAGTGCATCAGAGATGTGACGCACTTCTCTTCCCTAAGATAGCAGGGTAGAAGGCAAAGTACTGCAGAAACAAAGGTAAGATCCATATTAGGTGCTCAAGTATAGTACTGTACAGTCAGAATATACAGCACCACACCCATACAGGTTGATTCATAATTCTTCTAATGCTGCAGCATGGCCCAAGGCCAGATTTCCCTGGTGAATGCCTGGTCTTTGAGGCTGACCAAGCAATCACCAGGGAAGGCTGGCCACAGACGACACTGGCCACATAATAAAAGTTAATACAGTATTGCAACAATAGCTGAATTAAATCAGAGCTATTTCCTACTTACTCAAATGATAATCCTTAATCTACAAAATGCAAGAAAATATGACACTAAAAATACTCCATTACCCATCACAGTTGCACACAGTATATAATTTACAAAATAATTTTCTTAATCCATTTGTCAAAACAAAATTACTGTATGTTGAATTTTGTTTTAATTGAATTACTATTTTATTTGTATTACCTGAAATGAAACATTAAATAATAACCCTTGCACAGCACAAATCATATTCATATATATGTTGGCATAACTGACTGCACTGTGCACATCGCATAGGATTTAGCGAATTACGTAAACTTTAAAAGACCTGATGCTACACGGAGGGGTTCACATTGACTTTCTCAGGGCACCAGTAAACTGACACCATTTTGAAAACAATCATGGGCACTGTTCCTGGGTGTGAAGGCCTCAGTACCAAGTGAGCAATTAAGGCTGGCACATGGTTCACATGAGCTGAACAGCACCACTGTTCAGCTTGTGACCACATCAAAATAATTAAGTGCTGTAATATCTTTGTGGTAACTCCTGCCACACAGCTTAGCTGGAGCAGCCCGGCCCAGATGTGTACTCTTTCATCACCTTTCATTATATATTTTAATAATGAAATTATTGTTTACAGTGTGTATGAACATGCAAAAACTGTGTACTGTAACTTTTCTGTATAAAAACACTTCTAAAATTTATAAAAATTAGTAGAAAAACAATATTTCTCAAAATCCAAAACAATAGTCAGGATTTGAGAGATTCTACTGTACGATCATTCAAAATCACCTAATTTTGTTGGCAAGAAGAGTCTGATGCAATAACCGAAGCAGCTGCTGCATCTGCTCTGTAGATGGTGGTGGCTGGGCAGTGTTAAGCATGGAACGCATCTTCTCTGCACCCTGATACACTGCCTGCACCTGTCCAATCTGACCAGACACTTGCACCATTGTGTAGTAAACATGGTAGCGGACACCGAGGTTCTCTGGCAGAGCATGGAATAACAAATTCAACCTGGAGGAAAGCGATATTAAAATGTAATTATCAGGAGAAAGCGCTAAGCCAGTACGACTATATAGCACTTGGAAGGAATATGGGGACAAGGATCCAAGAAAGGATGGAGCAAATGAATGATACCCAACCACTTGGACCAGTGGGGATTGAACGCTGCCCTACCAGTAAGCTAGGTCGTCGTTGTACCGACCTGTCCAAGTGTTTGGGGGGAAGGGGGCGCGTTATCAAATATTAGTGCAGCATAATAGCAAATAATTCAGATAGATCTATTCTGAAAGTAGTTTAATTGAGAATATTTTACATGGGAAATGTATACAAATAATTGGCATCTGCTACAAAATTACTTTAATTGGCAAAGGTACATGCAGACAAGGCTATTTCACATTACAGCACTAATTCTTTTATCATGTGGATAAAAACTCTATTTTCTATTACAAAAAAATAAAAAATAAGTTAACCTCCATTTTCTACTTACACTCTTAAACAGACACTGCCTAATCTGTTGGAAGGTGCCTTGGCAAGTTTCTCACAGAATGCCAGGATGAGCGACTCTGTTTTCTCCCCAACAGGTACCTATTGATAAACGAACAATACAATAATCTTAAGCCAATTTGTTTCAGCTACTGCATCAACTCCTTTCAAATGTTTGCAAATCTTTGACAGCAATATTTCTCCAAGAAGGTAAGTAAGGCCTTACCAAATGACTGGCAATTTTGCAACAAAATAATTTCATGTTGCACCAATAAATTCATTATGCACTTAGTAATTATGTAATTTAACTGGATAAAATTGCTTATGACAAGTCAGTATCATATACAGTAATTGTCATATGTATATAATACATATTATATCATATCTCACATGTCATGACATATCAATGACATGAAAATGACATGTGTCACTGTCATATGTCAATGATATGACAAGATGAAAAATTATGTCACTTGGTACCACAACAAAATGGTATCAGGAACTGAAAGACGAGAGCTATGAGGAGAGGTAAGAGGCATTAAACATGCCAAAGCTAGAAAATATAAAAAAAGAGCCGATATAATCACTACTCTGTACATACATACAAAATAGTAACAGGAATCGATAAAACTGCTAAAGACAAATTCTCGAGACCTGAAACTTCAAGTACTGTATGTATAAGAAGTCATAGATTTAAGCTACGGAAACAAACCTGCCATAAAAACATTAGAATGATCACTTTTGCAAGCAGAGTGGTAGATGGCTGGAACAAGTTAGAAAGAAGGTGGTGAATGCCAAGATTGTCAGCAGGTTCAAAGCATCAGTCATATGATAAAGAGTAGTGTACTGGAAAGACGGGAAACCATGAGCGTAGCTTTTATCCTCAAACTACACTTAGGTAATTACATGGACTCCTCCCTTTCTCACACAACTGCTTAGAAAGACTAATATATTCCCACATCCACTCTGCAAACATTGTGGAAAGCACTAGCATAGCCAGGGTAAGGTTGTGCCACAACAAACTGAATAATGGCTGCCTGTTTACCTAGTGGCTGGTTTAGTCAATTCAATAGGAACCACTTTACTGGATGCCGACTGTAAATGAGGCTCCAAATACTTTCCATAAAATTTAGTAGATCCTAAAAGATGTCATGTATTGAGTGAATACTGTTCATACAGAGGTTGATGAAATTATTTGCGTGCCTTGTTCTTATTAATAATTTCTTTTTTTGTTTACTGGAGACAGAAAATGGGAGAAGTGGGGCCAAAGTTTGAATGTAGCTCACTATTCTCCCAATGTTGATAAGTTGAGCATAGTCCCAATCTTACATAGATAAACCAAACTACCAAAAGTATCTGTAAACAAAATCAACTCACCACAATCAGAACCGAGACAATTGAATTTAACAGTGCCTCCACCTCAGCCTCCGTGGCCTCTGAAGAAAAGGCAGTGTCGCACACCCCAATGATTTTATGCAAGTCATCTTCAAGCCCTTTGGGACTCCGTTCTACCGAGATCTCTGCACCCACCTCCTTAAGGTAGGTACGGAGCTCCTCCACCTGCAAAAACCAGATAAAATGTGTAAAATCACAGGTTTCAAATATGGTGCAAAGTTTGACTTATTTTCCCCATCATGGAACAATACCTTACAATAAAGATGGATTTTAATATTTAAATATAAAAATTTTGTTCAGTACATTACTGTAGAGGATATACAAATTACCTGTTAACTGTCTATTCTGTATAAAGTAAAGACAATTTTGTCCCCTTCAAAAATCTTAAAAAGTGTAACATATTCTACATATTCATTATAATGTCTGAAATTTACTCTAAATCAAATCAGAATTTTCATGGAAGCATTTTGAAATTCCTTAAAAAGAATATGGAAATCTGTTCTCATTACACATCTGTTCAAGCAAAATATGCTCTACACGTTTGCCTGTGGCTTTTGCTTAAACAAACAAAACATCACCATGTAGAGCAGTAGGTCACTAGGAAATACACCTAAATGTAGAATACGTCAGTTACAGTACTTGTGTAGAGCACTATCATTAAATAACCTTATAATTATAAAATTTCCTTCATTATCAAATTAAAAAAAAAATGTATAAAAGTGTATCCTGTATACATTGTCTTCGTGTCAGTGCAAAATAAGTGATCAAGAATGTCCATCCATCGAACCCGGAACCTCAGGACTACGAATCCAGAGTGCTGTCCACCCAGCAGTCACACCCGTATGTTTCGAACCCATATAATACACATGGTTTTTAATAATTGAGAAACAAGCTTTGAAGAAACGCCAGTCCTGTGATTTAGCAAGTTATTTAATTATCAAACTGGTGTATGTGGTTAGGTTAGGATATATTACCTTAGGTTTGGCTGTGTTAGGCCCAGTTGGGCAGGTTTTAAAATCCTGTGGTAAACCATCATGTGCAAGATCCGACTATACCAGAAATAAATAAATTAATTCACCCCATGTATTATTTTTTGTTTACAAATTAAATTATCCAGACGAGAGCCCACATGTTAGGCCGCCCTCCTCACACTCCACACTCGTCATGCACTCACTGAGCACTACACACTCCATCACCACACACTCACACCACCACCACACACTCACTAAGCACCATAACCACCTCACTGTACCTGGGCATTAACATCTATCTCCAAAAATGTGTACACACTCATGACTGTGTGAGGTGATGGCCGCTGTTGACGACTCGGGAGGGACGCGCGCCTCGCCGCCCTCAACTGTTTCCTCACCTCTCTCTCTTCACCTCAATGTACCCCTTAATAACCTCACATTAACACTAAAATAAATATATGCTGTATTATAAAATTAAATTATTTAGAGATTGCTCAACCGTTATAGCGTATAGATATGCAATTCCGTTTCGGATGGTGCACTACGGAACTATTATATAATTCTTTAATTAATAGGCTTAGATTTTTAGCCTCTAATTTTATATCACACCTTACAGAGGATGAGTCAAACGTTAACTTTTATTTCACGGCGTCAGCCACTTTTCCTTTCACCTGATGCCTATGTTCACCTAGCAGTAAATAAGTACTGAAGAGTTAGGTTATGTTTGGGTAGGTTGGGTAAGTTAGGTAGGTACAGGAGGCTCATATGCCAGCATTGTCGCTTGGACTCAAGATAAACTAGTTATTAGTTATCTCAAGTTATCTCAAGATAACCTGAACCGTCGACTTGCCTTGGCGTCAGCTCCTTATTTTCGTCTAATTTCGTTATGAAATGATACGTTTTCAGAGTATAAATATGTTGTTCATGTTCTACATTCAGCGCAAACATTATAATGAATAAATATATCATATTTATTTATTAATAACGTAATGCTAGAAAGCTTCGAGTAAGTTTGGGTAGCTTTGGGTAATTTGACGGAAACTCACCAAGTACATACGAAACCTGTACATCATTCAACAGTCATGGCAGTTGTGTTTACATTTATTAAACAGTTTGGGCTCCGAAGCACTATGAGGTTATTTATAACAATAATAACTTTAAGTTGTGAAGTTTCAAAACTCATAAACTGTTTAATATGTGTAAAGAAAACTGCCATAAGTGAGGAAAGATGAATAGGTTTAGTAAATGGTTTGATGAGTTAACTCCGTGGTAATCAGGATCACAAAGATGGGCCAGACATAGGCTATTTACCTTATTTTCAGTTAGTAATTTAAATACTTTTCATCCAGGATTATTATAGAGAACTCTTGTGTGCCCGTAGGGAGCCGGTCGGCCGAGCGGACAGCACGCTGGACTTGTGATCCTGCAGTCCCTGGGTCGATCCCGGGCGCCGGCGAGAAACAATGGGTAGAGTTTTTTTCACCCTATGCCCCTGTTACCTAGCAGTAAAATAGGTACCTGGGTGTTAGTCAGCTGTCACGGGCTGCTTCCTGGGGGTGGAGGCCTGGTCGAGGACCGGGCCGCGGGGACACTAAAAGCCCTGAAATCATCTCAAGATAACCATCATTATGACATCACCAAAAATGGGAGACCACACTGTGCGCGTGACGTTATGATGTTAACTAATCAGAACGTGTGCGCCTGAAGTCCTGACGTCTCCACCCAATGAAAGATCAATGATTTTTAACACCTCACATGAGTCACCACAATCCCACTCTATTAGCTTTATCAAAGACCATTCATGTTTAACTACATCTTTGCTATGTACATATTTTTATAACCCCACTACATTTCTGACTATGTTCTATCTACACATTGTCTACTTTTCCTCGCATATTCCATAATCCATTTCTTCCTTATTATTCTCAACACCTACACTGGAACTGAAACTAATTATCTTCTAGTTTGTGTAATCGTCTCTACAACCCTTGTAAGGTACAATCATTTCTATTTTTATTCATTTGATCAGCATCATCATCATTTCCCTCTGCTTGTGAGGTTGACTTCTTGTTAAACAAGTTGTCATATTTTTAATTTCATACTGCTTTTGTGAGTAGAAAATGATGTTTGTAAGCAATAGTAATTTTGCTAGACTATGTAGGAGAAAGAAGATGTATTTTAACATAAGTAAAGAGGCTAAATTGACTTTGAAAAGTGATCAAGGTTAGGCAGAGTGGATGCCTGGAGCAATGTGTTGATGGACCACTACACTACACACAGAAATCACAATAGTGTGATGCATCAAATGAACAAATCCACAATGGCCGTGACGAAGGTTCTAACATACGTCCGAGAGGATCCCAGATGCTTCCTTAATCGATTGAGCTACGACATGGTTAAAAGAATTGCAACCGGAAGTTCTACTGACCTTACTCGGATCCAGCAGCCTCTCCAAGACACAAACCAGGGTTTTACACAATTCCCCCATGCACCCAAGCTCTGTCAATAAGCTGTTCTACCTGATTTGATGGACACGTCCACACTATGTAGCACAGTGCTTAGGGCAGTCGGACCAGAGGCAAAAGGTTCTGGGATCAGTTCCCACAGCAAGACAAAAGGGTTTGAAGAATGTTTCCTTTCACCTAAAGTCTCTGTTCACCTAGCAGTAAATAGGCACTCAGAAGTTAGGCAACAATTGTGGTTTGAATTTTGAGGAAGATCAACACTGTAGTTAGCCTAAGGGGACCTCAGTAAACCCTACAGGCTTTCTGTTCCTGACTATTGGCAACCAAAACCAATGTGATTAGTGATCTTTTCTGCTCACTAATAATTAAAAATCCCCCTAAAATCTATAAAACTTCACAAATAAGCTGTGGCAACACAGATGAAAATATCACATGGCATAGACATGAAGTTTCAGTAGCACATGGCCACCTACAGAAATTAATCACCATTTACTGCCTGTTGTACAAAATATACAATGTTTACAGTATAAGTAAAAGCTTACTCTAGTGCTGTTGTTTCCAATAGGTCAGCCCTTTCCAGCTTTAATGTTCAGGTTTACCTTCCTGGAAAGCCATTCTTCTCTGCCAAGGCACTATTAGGAGTAAGCTCAGAGGTTGCTGGTTGCTACTAAGAGAGGCCATCCCAGAAATTGAGCATTAAGATATAATAAAGCATCCTTTTCTGGTGGGTTTCCATCCTTTTGGCAAAGCATTTGCAATTCGTTCTGTAAGCTTGAGTTAGGCGTGTCAGTCCCCAGGTGACTTTGGCAGCCATCTGGTGGCAGTTGTGTTAGTTTACACACGACAATGATTGTTTGCCTTGTTTGTATTACGGCTACTAATTTCCTTGAAGCAGTAACTTTTTTTCGTGTACCTAACCATCATGGTGATTTTTATCTTAGTGAGGGTAGACCTCTGATCCCCAGAGTCCCGTTACCTCGAAGAGGAAACCAGATTCTTGAGTTGGCTCCTGGTAGATCAGGGTGGCCTTAGAGGCCTGGTGTGATTCCCTTAGAACTAGCTATACCAGTGCTTAAGCTCAGGGAACTCTCAAGAAAATGCAGTATTTTAATAATATTTACAACAAAAATTACAACAGCAGCAAAAATAGTGAAAATATACTATCTGGAAATTACTTTTAGGTAATCGATCCAAATTTCATTAAGCTTTTTAACGAATCCAGATCAAATTCCGAATACTGTGGTTCAATCTGATAGGAAAAAGTATTCTGTTGTTTGGATGTACAGTCCTGTATTTATTACAAAAAAAAAAAGCTTCAGATTTTGGAGGTTACACTGTACACTTAAAGCCAGATTTGTTTTTGTTATCTTTGAATACTCTGAGTATTTATATCTCTGGTTATGATAATGCAAAGAAAAGACAAGTTTAATAAATGTCTATATTCAATTTAAACACCTTCACAACTGTCTCCATTCACACTTATCTTTAAATACTATGTAAATCATCTCGATCATACTATTCATGAGAATAAGAGATGTTTTATGACTTGTCAACCGACATCTCTCACATAACAAAATAAGAAATAAATACATTTTATGAATACAGTGATAACCAAATAATACAACCTAGGAAAACATGAAGGAGCTGCAATAACATGCATGTATGAATCATGGAACATAATGTAACATCCACCATAACATTGTTACGAGTTCAACGGCCAAAAATCAAAATGCAGGTCTTGTTTAATGTGATGGGCAATGATTAAGTGAAAAAAATACCATCCCTTACGTAAATCTCATTACAGCTCCAACATTCCATGTACTATGCAAAGTTGCTGTTGAAAAGGCCAAATTTGCCTATCAAAATGATAAAAGGAAATATGAAATATAGCAAGAAAGTAATACAGTATTTTATATATAATGTCATTTTATATATATAATACTATATATACTGTAAAGATTATAGTGCTATATTATATATATATATATATATATATATATATATATATATTACACAGTATTTATTTTTTCATTATTTATACAGTGTATGCATGTCAAGAATTTTTTTCTTTTACATTTCCTGATATAATTAGCAATGGCTGCTTCCAGATATCCCTGCAATCTCTTGGCACAACATAATTAAATATTTCATTACATATATCATAGCAAATATATACAGCAGATGAGAAAAAAAAGTTCAAGTTTGGGGAAATATTAACATCGAAAGAGAAACATTTCTTAACAGATGGCCTGTGAAGAATTTGTACTTGAAAATGATGGTACTAGCCACTCAAACTATGCATACCTTACATAAACATGTTGAAGAACCATCTTGTGAATGTCATATTCAATGACACTTTGCAAATAATGTATAGAATAACAAGAATCTACATATATCATGTTAAATAAAACTGGTAATTTACATATCTATACTCAATAAGCTGTCTCCAATGCTTTAAATGATTAAGGTACAAATAAATTTGCTCCAATACACAATGGTCATTCTGCATCTCCACACTTCAAAGAAGGAATTAACTAAAAAAAAAAAAAAAAAGTAACATCATTCATAACAGGAAAATAATAACTATATGTTGACTGGTTGAATCTTGAGAGAAAGATTGCAGCCTTGCATAATTAGGTCAACCTAAGAAATTTCAAAGACCAAAATGGTACCTCAGAGTTTTCTGAATAAAGCAACCCCTCCTCCTGTTTAGATAAAACTTATAGCAATGATATGGACCATCATACATATATTGACGTAATGGCCAATTAGGAAGTAGTATTTAGTACTACTGAATTTGGAAAACCTAAAAAGATTTTGTATTTATATTTCTAATAAAGCCTCATCTATCCTAACCATCCTAGGCTTAATTCACGTTATCCGAGTCCCAATATAGTACATATGTGCACTATACTAGGCCTCAGAATATTTAAGTTTGGTGTTGGCTTCATTTTTTCCAGACTCAATAAGGTGAATACTGGTAGTACCAAATTCTACCATCTAACTGTCCATTACGTCAACATATGCTTAATGGTTTACATAGTTACAACAAATACTAACTCATCAGGAAGATGGGTTGGAATAACGGTATGTGATTGGTACTAGTAACCCAATCAATCTACCTTTATACTGAAGCTTGCTAAATCTGAAGAATAATTAAATGATGAATCCCAGGAAAATATAGAGGAGAACAGAGTTGGATAAGTTGGAGATGAAAACAATAGGTTTCAAGATTTGTAAGGTTAAATTAGAGGCAATAAAATGAACACAGCCAAGGCCATTAATAAAAGTAAATGCCAGTGAACGATAATAAAGATGATAAATAAATTTATTGTTTTTAATTCTCAATTTTTGTAACACTATTCTTAAAGGTACTAGAGTCAACCAGTCTAATAATTAATCAAATGTATTAAGAATGTATTAAATAAAACTAATATGAAATAACAATCTCTTAATGCTTAAGAAATATAAGTACAATTTTTCAAATATAAAATTTTGAGGAATAATGAAGGACAGTGAACTACATCATATTAACAGTGTAAAAATACTCTGACAATTTCAAGTACACTGTATTGTACCTATACTGTATTAACAAAATACAAATATACTGTAATATAAAAATGATCACAGATCACAATGTTTATTTGTTTGTCTTTTAAATAAAACTATAACAAAATTACAATATTTACCGAGGCTCTGATTGCGATGCCTTGACGATCAACCTCTTTGAGCACTAATCCGCCACTGTTTGACTACACATTACCTACACAGGTAATTTTATTGTACCGTAAAGTCCATCACTACATATACTATGTGTTTATATGCGTAATTGCACTTGTATATACTGTATGTATGCATGTGTGTGTGTGTGTGTGCACGAGTGCTTGCATGTACATGCACGAATCCATTAGTATACATGTGCATAAGTAAAACGGGTTCATCTGTGTGTAAATGTCTAAGTGCATGCGTGTGTATATTTGAATGCCTTTGTGTTCACATTTATGAGGGCATGTATTTACATACATGCACCTGTGCAAGTATATGTATGAGTATATGCATATGTGTACATGTATGAGTGTATGTATGTGGTGAACATGCATTAATGTGCATATACAGCATATGAGTATGTTTGAACATGAGTGTATGTTTGTACAAACATAGAATTGTATATTTAAACATACATGAGTACATTTAAGGATCCTGGTAGTATAATTGAGTTCATTCTCGACTCACAATTTGGAATTTCGGGTTCGAATCCCATAAGGGACAGAAATGGTTGGGCACGTTTTCTATCACCTAAAGCCCCAGTTCGCGTAGCAGTAAAGGTGTTATTCAGCCTGTTGTGGGGTTACATCCTGGGAAGGGTCAGTAGTTCGACCTTGAGGGGACCTCCATATAAGCCTAACATGCTTATATAATAATAAATTATAATACACTGCCTGCCTGTTCCCTGACAAAATGAGTCATTATTATTATTATAAAGTGCATATACAGGACTGTGTATGTGTTTACATGCAAGAATGTGGATATAAATGAGAATGTGTGTGTGCACCTGCCTTTACAACAAAATTTGTTAAACAAAACATCAAATGCTGTAAGAATGTATGCTACACCTGCAGGGATCTCCCTGTATTAAGGGATTGGTCGAGTCCTCTGGGCCCATGAAGTATGACCCGAGTCCTATTCACTTAAAAGTACAGGCCTTTAGAAAATTAAAAATATAATTACCATTTGCCAATATTAGATTATAGCAAATGCTTATAAAAATTTTAAGTTAAAATTTATAAAAACAAACAAAATAATTGTAACAATATGTTTAGAGAATATGATTCCCTCGCCCAATTCTCCATAGCCCACTATATCCCCCCTGAGCAACAATGTTGCTGTAATACTGAATCAGCATTGATAACACACACTCAACCATATTTTGCCCGATGGGGTACTTTAGTTATCTAATATTCTAAGGGGTACTTCATTACCAATGATACATTGTAGAATAAGCTAACAACATTACATTATGATAAGAAGAATGATAGGGTTACAAACAAGGTAAGGACTGTATACACGTCTAAATAACATGACAACTTGCTGTAGGGGAAGTCTTTGGTTCACTGGTACAGTATTGCTAAATATTGTGTTCCTGGCATACAATTTCTTCTGGGCTTTCAAGTTTAAATAAAATTGAATGTGACATAACGAGTGACTTGATAAAATAAAGTTACTTTACTCTTTACACAACCACTTTAATCCAATATATTATCTATAGTATGAATAAATTATTATTACACAACATGAAATATATGTAGTAACTAGGTGTGCTAGGTTACATATGATAGAGGAATTTACTTTTTGAAATGGTTCAAGGAGATCCCTACACTGTGCAAGCACTGTGTGTACAGATGGGCCTTAATGTTTCTCATTTATACACCCCTATGGCAATCACCTCAGTGTAATTATCATATTACTATTACACATTTTACTTTTTTGTGTGTAATACAATTGTTGACATGTACAGGTGACAGTTATAGAGATATAGTTATTGTTAGTCTAATTCTCAACACCAATTTGTTATTGGCTAAAGAAAAAACTAATATACGGAGCATAGACAAATTTCACATTGACTATACTGAATTTACAAAGAAATATAGAAATTTATTTCACATTTGTTATTGTTTAAAACAAAAAAAGTAATTGTAAATAACTGGTTATTGACATTCTTTCACACAATCTATAATCAGTTCTTACCAATATAGCACATTCTCTATATCCACATTTTGCAAAATGCAATTGCAGTGTCATTTAATAGGCAAGTATGTACTGAATGGTAGTACAGTATATCAATCTATATACTGTTCTTGTGTATAAATTAAAAGTTTCACAATAAAATTTAGGAATTTGGCAATGACCTTTTTATAAATAACTTGAATATTCATTAAGCTAGAGTGGAAAACTCCTGCATGCAGAAAAATCCTTGAGATTGTCAAGGTCATTCTTATCAGGTAGATGAGGAAACACGACTAATCTAAGCAGGAGTCACATGATTGATTTGCAAAAAATAACATTTTTGCATTTTATTCAAATATCTTAACAATTATCTTTACAGCCTAATACAACAAATTCTTAAAAGTATTTTCGTTTACATATTTTGTCACGTGTTTTCCTATTAATTTAAAACTCACTCGATCAATTTTGTCTTTAAAAATGACAGGCTAAACGTGAGAAAATACTGAAGCTTTGCGACGGGATTGAACCAGCATCCCTGAACTCCTCAGACACATGCACTATTATCTTATAGCTACATCACATTCTTGTGATTTCACTGTGTAGGCTAAACATATTAATTCATTACTTATGCTTCTTTGACCATATGGATGGATCTTATAACAAAAATGATGAGTTTCTAACTGTACCAGAAATGTCTCTAGCCTGAGGTTATGTATTATGCATGTGATTAGATGTCGAATTTAATACTTTGCTCATCTCTATGCATTTTACACTCTGAAGAACGAAGATGGTTGCAATATCCATGCACGAGTACTAAGGCCAGCAGGAACCATAAAAAACACCAAGACGATTTAATAACATTAAATCAGCAAGATTTAGGCCAGCTTGCCTTCGGCAACTCACAAAAGTTCTTCCTCATATCAGTAAGTTTCACCTGTAAGTCTGACCCTTTATGGAATGAAATGTTTCCTTCCAAATTTCAAATTTATACGAAAATAGTACTACATGTGCAGTATTGTATACTGTAATATATATGGCATATTATATATGGTAGTCAGCCTCTGTTATTTGCAAGTTCAGTATCCCTGATATTCACTACACAAAACACTGGTGCTGGATTTACAGCCATTGGTGCAATTGGTGCAATGTTTATGACAATTTTTTTTATTACATCACAGCACCTTTTAATTATCCTACAGCACCTGTGCAAATTTACTTTATACAGAATGTGTGTAGCTGGAAAAGTATTAGCACTTAGTAATACTAGTCACATACTGAATGGATTTTCTGGGAGTGACCTCTCAGTGGCCAACTGGTCCTCAGATGAAGTCCATTCCATCCAGCAGTCGACCCCAAAGACGAATTCATAAATTTTACCACACTGGTAATTTTCTCAAATATAAATTATTATTATTTCATATTACCATATTGTACATATTTAGGCACTGATTAGGTTAGGTGTTTAGATTCTTGGGTCTCTGTTTGGAGGACAGGCTGCAGTGGCTCCCTGGAGCAACCAAGAGGCCCACCACAAGATGTTTCATTACATTCAATTTTGCACTTACTGAGGTTCATGTATAACCTTAAAACTCTAATTCGATTGTCCTAAGGTTTTCCCAAGAATCCATCTCTTGCATAATAGAGGCTGACTCCTAAATATTTGTATGGCAGCATTTATTGTATATGGTGCATGTTTGACTTCAATATGGTACATGTTTGACTTCAATATGGTGCAATTTGGACTTAAAGCTGCTGTTTTTAAACTTGCAAATCAAACAGTAGATATTACTGTATGTCACCTAATCTTACAATTTATGCAACAAATTTAAAAATAATAATTCTATAGGGATTAGGAAGTAAAATTATAAAACAATTCTGAAAACAAAATTTGACAATTGGAACAGCATTAATTTTTAATAAGCAAATCAGAAATAAAAGATACGAACAGACAACTACATAACAATAAATATAATATAGAGCTTTGAGAGACCACGTACGATAAAAGAATATATACAACTTTGTAAGAGATGCACGCATGACCAAAATGTATGGTTAGAGAGTTTTAAAAAGAAGAAAGAAAATTACTAGAATTACCCTTAACATAGGAGACAGCATTAGTGACAGATACAAATTTAAGTTTTGATCTGTCTTGATATGATGAATCGATTTATAACAAAAATCATTTTATTCTGTACAATATAGAGTTCCTGCTAAACTTAAAAGGAAAGCTGCCAATTTTTGCAAAGGATCTAAAAATGTGTTAAAATGTGCAGAAATTTCTCACAGGAATTTACATTGGAAAAATAATGTTAAAAAGTTTCAAATACAAAAAATATAGATACTATCTTGGAAGAACAAATGCCTGACAGATTCTCCTGTACATCGGACAACTAAAGCAAATATCAGTTTTAACTTTGAAGTGTTTTCTAGTTAGAAATTCCATTCACAACTAATGCAAGATGAGATAACCTTTTCAGTTTATTAATTTTTTCAGATGTTTAAGACTTAAATTTTTTTACCTCAAACATAGTAGTATTATGCCAAATATTATATTTCACAAGACAGGCTTCCCTCTTCACCATTGGGTTCCAACACTAGGGGTCCATCTGTGATCTCCAAGGCTTGGCATATAGTTTACACAGTGAAACCTGGGCCCAGGATCACCGGTGATGGAACCTGTCTCCCTCCTGCTTAGTAACCCGACGATATACTTCCTCTGGGAGACTTTCAGGATCAGCCAGGACATTTGTGGTAGTACTTAGCTTGCGCATTGAGCTTGACACCACTGAAAAATAAATACAAAAAATAATTAATACTGTACATATATTCTACACATTCTTTGTGACAGGTGTGCTGGCACTATTTGGTTTGACTCCCTTGGACCCCCCCTTACCCGAGTCAATTCAATGCTCAGTTCCTTGCACTCCCCTCTCAAGAAATGAAAGTTTGGAACAGGGTGGAGTACGGGGGGTCTTCTACCTATCTTGCAGTCACCTTGCAGTGATTTCAAGGATTAAGGTCCCCCCTTTTTATTTTACAGGAGTCCATCTTAGATGCCTGTCTCTGACCTTCTCAATGCCAGCTGTAAACAGTATTCATGCTTCTCCAGCCAGGATACAGGCTTAGAAGCTTTCAAGCATAATCCAATGTTTTAGCAGATGTCTATAAATGTCACTCCTCCAATTTTTTGAAGAGTGGATGCTAGTAGTCAAGTACAGCTAACCAGTTCTTGAATTAACATTATTGACTGGCTCTACATGTAATACAATGAATAATATTTGACATTAACCATAGCCCTCATGTTACAGGAGGAGAGAACAAGAGTATTGTCCAACAATACAATGTCCTCTATTTTCAATTATAATTTTTAAAAATATTATAAAGTACAGTGTTTACAATCACAACTAAAATAACTCCAACCAACAAAATAAGTCCTTAACAGCATATGAAGCATTACAATAAAAGCCTTTCTGGCCTTGCAAATGCTTAAAACTCTAATCATATTTCTTATTCAAAATATGTCAATGACATGAAAACAAAGATAAAATTTAGATTTGATAGTGGTACATACATGGTCGAAGGATGTTGAGAGAACACTGTTGATCGAGCCATGCAAGGGAGGAGCGACAAAGATCGTCTAAGCAACTGGTACTGACACTGCTGTTGTAAGACTCTAACAAAGGTTCTGTGATTAAAGAAAAAATCCAGAACTTCCAGTTTGCTAGTGTACGCTCACGAACATAACTGTTAAACATCTCCTTCAGCTTGCTGTAACGAGCATGTGTCATTGGAGCTCCTGTAGCTGGCAGCAAGGCTTGGGCATTACTGAAAGAAAATGAAGCTTACATAAATTTAATTATTGTATATATTTAGAACCAACATTTACAATATACAGAACTGTACATATTATTGCCTATACAGTACTACTGTATATTAAAGTACTCATGAAAAATCTAAACTTCCCTTTAATGGATCAATTAATTTTGGACCTTATATTTTTTATTTTATTGTATTTATTTTTTACTTTCAACCATTACGATCTATGATACCTTTTTTATATTCTGCCCAAAAATATTATGTTTTTACTAGTGCAAATGATAGAAGATACTTCTAAGTATATGTTGATGACAAAATCAAATTGAAAAGAAATTAAGAGTAATTCCCTATACATAGTGGCTCAGTTGGACTCGACCCCAGTCGGTCAAGATTTTTTCCATTTTCTGTCACTGTTTTGGAATTCTGAACAGGAAAGATCCATTTCCACTGCAAATTTGAGGGTTATTGCATTGTATTTAGTTTTCAGATGCCCTTAACCCTTACACTGCTCTAATTCCTATTTGCAGTTGTCCCTTGTGCTCCAATCGCTGTATGTGATTTTCCCCATTTGATTTCCTGATTTACCAGAGGGCTACTAACCCTAGTGGCCTCGACGAGGACAGGAAGCCGGCGGTTTGTCAAAGGTCCCCCCCAATTTGTTAACTGTTTTAAACATGTGCACCTCACTGTAGTATTTTTAAATGGCTGAACCATTTAAAGGGAATATGAACATGGGGAAGTATCAGTATGAAGAAGGAAAACTAAAATACCTTATCTCGCAACACAGAACTTCTATCTGCGATCGAAGTTTTTCTGCCTGTTCTGTTAGCTGTTGTCTCTCAGATTTCAGTTGCTGGATATAATCTGCTCCTTTCTGCAACATTACTGCTTTACTGATCTACGGGAAAACATTTTAAATATATTACACAAACTTTAATTACATTATTTTTCAATTACCCAAAATAAACCTTGTTGAATAATAAACTTGAAGAGATTATGCTTCTAAAAATATACTGAGTAAAATCTACTGTATTTACTTATGCAATTACCACATTAAACATCCATCACTGTGTATTAGGTTCATTTTTTGTCTAACTCGTCCTCTCACCTAATACGTGGCATTTTTTACGGAATCGACTGATCCAATAAAAATGTGACGTATTAGTAAAAATTAAAGCACTGTAATAGTGACAATTTTTATGCATCGACCTTAATAGGTTAAGTGGGTTACTTGGGTTTATACATTTCTGGTTAGGCAAAATGATTGCATTTTTTATAGTGTCAAATCAAGAGAACAGGATGCTTTATCAGTGCAAAGCAAAATAATATATAGTAACATTTAGAATTTTAATGCCAGAATAGGCACAAATGAAACTATATTAAGCATCTAAATATTCCTTGATAATCAAGATTCTCAGATATGGGGGAGGCTTACCTTGGCATTAGCATTTTGATTAATGGAAGGAATAAGCTGGTGCATAATGTCAAAGTTATTTTTCAAATTTGAGCGACGTTTCTGTTCTGCGTTTATGTGACAAACTCTGCGGTGCTCTTTATACTGAACTCGTTCTGAATCACTCTTGATTCTGGAAAAATATAGTCTTGTTTACTTACATCAGAATAATCGCATTTATTCTACACGACATTTCATATAATTTACATAATACTGTATATGAAATATATAATCTGATGTAGTGCTCATCACATTAACATGGAAAATTATAATAATAGGTAGTTTAGGATTGAAGCTAACAAAACATTCATTTCACCCCTTTTGAATAATTGATAACTCAAATGATTGTTTTATTTTGTTTATTAACATACAGTAATTGGCAACTGAACACCACTGATATCCAAAAATTTAATGGGGAGAAAAGTTCCAATTCTAATGTTACACTGTTACCTTCTTTATGGGAAGATGGAGATAATCAGCAAATATAATTTCTTAAGAGCACGAGTAAATATTGAGGCCATACAATGGAATCGAACCCAAACCCCCAAGGAGTTAAAGGGTGGAAGTTCGATCCCATTGCATGACTTCAATACATATTCACAGATTCATCACATTCTTGTGATTTCATTGTTCTTGATTGCATTGTACAAGATCAACCCTGCTTGAATACAAGTACTATATACATACAGTTTACAGTAATGTACTATATTACAAGATTTCTACCTACCTAAATTGTTTATTAGGTGGTGAAGGGATATTCATCATAAGAGGGGAGGTAGGTTCTGCATGTGGTGGAGAATGCTTCATTATCCCCTGCGGTGAACATGGGCTCCACGAAGTAATCTGGTTTGAAATTAAACCACAATAAAGCTAAAATACTGCATGTACATAGAACACATCATCAACATTTTTGTGCATTGGTAAAAAAAAGTTAGTGGTTCCAATAATGATGTCAAAAGCTTAAAAGATAATTTTATATAACATGTCCCAAAAACGTAATATATAACGAAAATCCCCACTCTTTTCTGTGTGATGTGATACGTTGTAATTATAGTACGGTACTGTATGTAAATTTTAATATAATAAATATAATCAATGTATGGTATAAAAGCCACTTTCTTCTCATCTTTATCTTAAATTAAAGACATTGTTCTATATTCTTTGGTTTATGTAGAAAAACTGAAGTTGGGCAAATGCAATTCTAACACAAATGATGTGAAGCATCTGAACGAAATGTCGTAATTTTGCTGATCAGGTGGCAGAAAATATATTATAAATACAAAATCTATGATAATTTTCACAGTGTGTGACCAAGGAAACTGATCTAAATTCTCCTAAGAATATGATGGTGGGATTCAAGACCTGAGAATAGTATTCAAATTGTTCCACCTTGAATTATAAGATTATAAATGGTTGTGAAGCGAAGGAAGACATGGATATATAAGACTCAAAATAGAATTCACACAATAAAACTAAGGTGAAACTATTTTTCAAATTTTAAGAACAAATATTGATATGTAATATATTTAATTTATTTGAAATTCTGTATACAAGTATAACCATACCCAAGTAGAGTATGGTTATGGAAGTTTGGATAGTTTTTTGTCCATATTTTGTACTCATTTGCAAAGAAGAAAATTTATAAAATTATTTGATTTTGAATTTTTTGTTACCCAGGGATAGGAGATGTGTACACTTCAATGGTTAATACAGTGGTCTATGTCCTCAGTTCACTATTGAGGGATGCAATTTCAATCCCCGGGCAGGACAGAAATGGTTGTGCTCGTTTCCTTTCACCTGATGCCACTGTTCACCTAGCAGTAAATAGGTACCTGGGGTTAGGCATGTTATGGGTTGTGTTCTGGGAAAGGTTTGTAGTTGATCTGGGGGGACCTGGATAAGCCTAAGTTCAGGTTTCCCACCCCTGACAACAGGAATTATTATAAAAACTCCAGTAAATATACAGTAATGATAATGATATTCACAGATAGCATAAGAAGGAAAATTAAATTACTGTTCTAACAATGGAAATTTAAGTACTGTAAATATTATTAAATATTCCTGCTCATGATAAGGACTCATCAACAGTTAACCAGAAATATGCTTACCTGTGAGAAGGGCTGATTCTTGAGCGTTGATGGTGTGACAGCAGAGAGGGTGATAGGAGGCACAATTAAGGAAGCAGTTACTACTGGCTTCATGTTGTTATTACTGCTGATGCTACAGATGCTGCTGTTACTGCTGTTACAACTGCTACTTGCACTCTCATTACCTGTGATAACACCAGGTATCACCAGAGATGCTTTAATACTGTTGCAACTGTTGACTGTCATGTTGCAGCTCCTCAAATTATTCAACTGATTGGCATTGGTGATACTAGCCAAGTGTTTGTCACTGGCTGATTGACAACTATTAACTGGATATGAGCCTAGAAAAGGATAATAATTTTGATAAATATTGTTTAAAATTAACCAGATAAACAGAATGAATCATTACACACCAAATTGTTGTTACTTTTTCGTAAAAGGAGAAAACGAGAAGATTTGAAAAGCAGTGCTGGACATATTAAGCTGCCTTTTGTTACATTACTAACCTGATGTAAGAAGTTGAGCAAGAAGTGCTGAGCCTGCAGATGAGTTAGCCGATTGTACTGAAGTTATTATAGGTGCGGACACTAAAGATGTGCTGGGACCCTGAACGGTGCCTGATGACAGAGCGGGAGCAAGTTGGGGAAGGGTTGTGACTGTAGCAGATGTGATAGCAATACTTGAATGTGGCAGGGAAGTCACTGGAGCCGAACCAATCACCTGGTGAGGCGCTAAGGATGGAGAACCCAGTAATCCACTGCTACAATTAATTCCACCAGAACTATGTGATCTTCGCCTCGGTAAAGACTGAAAAAAGAAAATTGCAGTGTTTTCAAATATTTCACACACTGAAAACTTTAATATCATAAAAATAAAAAAAATTAGACATTTTCAAAACATTCAAGAAAATGAATAAGTAATACTGGGTATATGAAATAAAACGAATAAACTCAACAAGGAAAAGAAACACAGTACTGTACAGTGAGAAAAGGCAAAAGATTAAGCACTTTGAAAAAACATATTACATAGAATGCAGTACTGCAGGCATATCAGAGGGCCATGGCTCTCTATTATCCTCCCAACAACTATACAAATACAAGAAATAGTGCCAGAACAAAAGTGACCATATTTAAAATACAATTAGACAAATTCCTGCAGAAAATACCAGATTAGCTCTTTTTGTTTTTTATTAGGGGGCTATTCATGCCTGTGCCACCTTTTGAGTGGCTTAATCTTTATCACTCAACTGATTTATAATGGATAAGTGGGTTTGTGGGCCACCCTAAGCAATAGCCTTGTAGATCAAGTTATCACGAGACAAACATGGCCCCAGGCTGGCCTTGAGGAGTAGACAAATTCTTGGAATCCACTCCATTTAACTATCAGAACTACAGAAAATTGTTGTGGTAGTATAATAAGTGCACATTCAATAGAAAGCAAAACCTTATCAAATTATCAAATAAAGCACATATCTTCCTGCATCATTATATTAAAGTCAACAGTCATCAGTCAGTGCCAGTCATCAGCTACTCCTAGCCAAACAAAACTATTGCCTGCCCAATTACTTGGAATGGACAGTACAGTGAGTGTCTCGATTCTAGCAGGTCAATGTTCAATCCCTGACGGTCCAAGTGGTGGGGCACCGTTCCATTCTTGTGTACTCTCTTAAAATTGTCATCCTCGTATCCCTGACAAGTGCTATACTGTAATGCCATGTATTCTTTATATCTATTCTTTAAACTACCGGTATGTTAATTGTGATCTTGTGTTTTCATAAACCACTCAAAAGATACTGAACTGCTACTTGCAAAGTACATCATAATAAAGTCACTATAACCACTCATTAAGCTTAAACATTATACCAGTTATTACTCACTTTTTAAAAAATTCAAGAGGACTCCAAGTGAGTCAATAATTGCTTCAGTAGTCCTAGATCCTCACAACCAAAGACATCGCTACTCTGCAAACACCACAAAATGAGGACTACCCACAGGGAAGTCCAATTTGAGTAGTGTACAAGAGAGTTTACTCAATGCTCTGATAGTTACCTGTATTAGAGATTTCGATTTGCATAGGCAAGATGTCAGTCGTAATTGATCTGATGACTTGGCTTGCAGTAGTAGTTAAGAAAAGGTAACACCAATATAGTCACAGAGCTTCACTCTATTCATAATCGAGGATCCCAGGTTTGATTCTTAGGCAGGATAGAAATGGTTGGGCACATTTCTTTTCACCTAATGCTGCTGTTCACTTAGCAATAAATAGGTACCCAGGAGTTAGGCAACTGTTGTGAGGTGGCATCCTGGGAAGGGTCAGGCTTATTGTATCAAACAAAATCAGTTATCAATTACCCAGTATATGTTTACATCCTTCCTGAATCTGAACTTCTACACCTCACAGCCATTCTACAGGTTCTGACCTGGTGTTATAGTCTGTGAGGGTCTCATGTTGGCCCCCCATCTCTCATGTTGGCCCCCCCCTCTCTCATGTTGGCTCCCCTCTCTCTCATGTTGGCCCCCCATCTCTCACGTTGGCCCCCCCATCTCTCATGTTGGCCCCCCATCTCTCATGTTGGCCCCCCATCTCTCACGTTGGCCCCCCATCTCTCACGTTGGCCCCCCCATCTCTCACGTTGGCCCCCCATCTCTCATGTTGGCCCCCCCATCTCTCATGTTGGCCCCCCCATCTCTCATGTTGGCCCCCCCATCTCTCATGTTGGCCCCCCCATCTCTCATGTTGGCCCCCCCAGCTCTCATGTTGGCCCCCCCAGCTCTCATGTTGGCCCCCCATCTCTCATGTTGGCCCCCCCATCTCTCATGTTGGCCCCCCCATCTCTCATGTTGGCCCCCCCATCTCTCATGTTGGCCCCCCCATCTCTCATGTTGGCCCCCCCATCTCTCATGTTGGCCCCCCCCATCTCTCATGTTGGCCCCCCCATCTCTCATGTTGGCCTCCCTCTCTCTCATGTTGACCCCCATCTCTCATGTTGGCCCCCCTCTCTCTCATGTTGACCCCCATCTCTCATGTTGACCCCCCCTCTCACGTTGACCAACTCTCTATGTTGATCCCCCCTCTCTCTCTCTCTCTCACGTTTGACCCCCCCCCCCCTCTCTCTCAAGACCATGCCCAGATCTAAGGTTGTTGATAACACTTATCCACTTGAAGACGTCGCTCACATTATTTTCTTGTTCTCCGGCTCTCAAGGAAAAGTAGCCAGGGCTTCTATAACATCTTATAAATGGGGTGTAGTCTAAGTGGGATCTTACCAAGGTCAAATATAACTGGGGGACGATGATGTGGGAGGGTTAGAGATACACCCCCACACTTTTCCTGTGGTCAGTAATGGAAAGGTTACAAACACACCCATACCCATCCTGTGCACGGTAATGGATGGTTACAGATACCCCATACCCATTCAGTATAATGGATGGTTACACATAACCCATACCCGATTAATCGATTGATTGATGAAGATTAAGCCACCCAAGAGGTGGCACGGGCATGAGTAGCCACGTAAGAACTGATACCCATCTTGTGCTCAGTAATAGAAGTTAGAGATACCCCATACGCACCATGGTCATTAATGGAAGGTTAGAGATACCCTATGCCCATCCGTATTGGTAATGCAAGGATTACAGGTACGCCATACCCATTCTGGTCTGTAATGGGTTACAGAGGTACCCCATACCCATTCCGTGTTAGTAGGAACGTTAAAAATTAAGTAAAGAACTGGACCAATTCTTTTAGCTAAAAAAATGGGTAATGGGTAGGTAAAACTTGTTAGAGAATGGTAGTGCGGCATTTGTACACTAAGGATAACATAACGGAGAACAAAGACAAGGTCAGTATTAACCCAAGGAAGGTGGATGGAGGAGGCATAATCACGTGGCTCACCGGCTGACCGCTCCTTGCCCCCAGCGCTACACCCCACACACCCCATCTTATCCCAACATCTACCCACCCGGTGACTCTTCCCACCCCTGGAGGCCCCGCGGCCTAGCCTCCTGCCGCACCCCCATCAACCTCCACCACTATTGGCCAGTTCATGCCAAACCTGCCGGCTGGTATTGCCGCCTGGCCTCGCACTTTATAACATGACTACACTATCTTCAAATTACACTTACAGTATATGATAAAGGATAAACTAAAACAGCAATATTAATACAAGATTTAGTAAAAAATTTAAAAACTCGTGAAATATATATTTAATTACATTTCAGGACGAGTACGAAAGCATCATGTACATAAGCAAATACCATAACTATCGAGATGTAAATCTATATTGGTAAATGTGGTGCACTTTAGTAAGTGGAGAATGTACAGTGTAAAGGTATCTAAATACTTTTGGGCACTACTTTGTCGCGAAAGATGTACGAGCATGGATTAATGGGGATCCATATAAACTATTTGTGTACATATTTTTTTTTGTACTTGTCTCGTACATATTCATATTGTATATATACAAAAGAATAGGCGTGGACGACCCGGCAGGATCCCAGGAAAGTTGTTTTGTATATTTGCAGCACTTCGCATACATTGTCTCATTATATAATGGAATACGAAAAAATCGCGGAATTCAGAGATAACACCATCAATAGAATCCAAGAAATGTGTAAGCACTTCATTCATTATGGTGTATCTGCCGGGAATCTTAGCGACAAGTATCCAAAATTTGCCTACTGTAGGTGTAGCCTGTACATGACTAACGCTGCCGCCCAGTTGGGTAGGTGTGGAGCACGACTAGTAACTGACTCACCATAGATGCAAAGTGGTGAGTACATAAAGTATGCCGACTGTTGTGAGCCTCTTGCTGAATCACTTATGATATAAAATAATTATTGATGTGTATGTGTATTTGTGTAAATGATTGTATATATATGTACATGTATGTATAACATTAACAATTGTGTAACTAGCTTCAAATGATTGTCACTTGCTTAGCTAAACGAACTCTGGAGTTCAGTTTCTGAACCCATTATGTGCCTCTGTAACCCTTTTCACCACCGCCTACGGGATGGGTATGGGGTGCATAATAAAGAAAGAATCGATGTAATGTGGGCCAGCGAAACTTATACTATCAGAAATGTTATAGCCTGGTACCCCAAGCTTGCCTACTGTAAACAGAGCAAACAGAGACCGTAACCTTTCACTGGATGGGTTTCGGGTGCACGATTGGCCAATGATATGTAAATACCTCGCTCACCACACTTGTAAATTGTTTAGGTTTAAGAGTTTTACACGCAGAAATCACAATAGCGCGATTTGTTCGGTTTAAGATTGTGTCTACCAGCGCCAACTGGTCGATAACAGAATAATTAAATTAATTAAAGAGCCGTATGGCAGTGATCGGGCTCTTGACTTGAGTAGGCAGAGCAATCTGGGATTAGGCAAGATCATGTGTCGAGCCCCAATAATAGGCTACAACAAATAATAGGCTGAAATTATTTCGGCTCTTAACAAATGGTGCTTTTTCTGTACTTCAAAAGTACATCAACACAGGTTCACAGTTCAATATAATTTTTTCGACTATTATATTTAATTCAAGTGAGTTTGATAGAAGACTGGCTGCTCAGCATATGTACCCACTGCTGACTATACAGTGCACAAATATTTATGAATGAAGCATTTGAACTTGAACTGGATTAACATATATTACAAGATTTAACGAAGAAACCCAAAGGGATGAAAATCTTGATTATGCCCAATTTTCAAAGGACAGCTGATCTCTAAGTGTTCCAGTACCATCTGTCCCTCACGCCGTCCCTCAAGCGCCATCTGTCCCTACCACCAAGCTATAATGAGTGGTG